GATTAAGATTTCTACATTAGAAAGAACTGACCTCACTTCATCCAATGAATTTCCAAGTCCCTTCTATGGTGGTTTTAAACTTTTGGGTAGCTTCAAGATGGAATGTAATGTCTTTCCCGTTATGTTGTACATTGCAGTATCAGTAAAAGCTGTGAGAAGCACAGTGGGCTGAGACATGTCACCAGTATTGTGAAATCTAAGAAGCTGGCACAAGAACTTAGTTATATCCTGGTAAACCCATTTGATGACATGGGATTTACCACAGCTGGCTCCTCCCGTCAAAAATTAAAAGAATGATTCTGGGTTCTCACCCCAGACACGTTGCAGACACCAGTCGCGAATGGCGTAAAACAGGGATGCTTGAGTCTCATTTAAACTTCTGCACATTTGTCTGATAAAATCAGGGCTCAATTTAGGAACTTCAATTTTTGGCATGGCTCCACTGTTGAGATCAAAGAAAAACAATCAGAGTTAGAGGCAGGCTTGGAACACAAGAGTCAGGGTGGCTTCTGGGTAATACCAGATGGCTAGGCCTCAGACTGACGAAGCCTCTTGGAAGAGGGGCGAAACGTTTCTTTTTAACAAAAAAACGAAGTCCAGATGACATGATTCAACCTTTTTTGTTGTAATCAGAGTTAGACTTTACAAAATGTCTCTGCTGTAAATATCTGGAAAAACTGTGACTTGTGGTCATTAAACTTCTGTACCAGCTGCTCAAAAGAGGCAAATGTATCATCAACATAGATATCATATAGTGAATGTAGCAGACACATGCTGTATTTTTACACTGAACCCATTTCCTTTAGTTGTTTGTAATTAATGTCATTCTCCTGGTTGTTCTGTGTGAAGTCCTCCAAAGTTCATAGAAATGAGTATAAAGAACATCAAGGTTTATGCTCAATAGGCCAGGTAGAAAAATCCAACAAGTTGTCAGGTCCTCTGGATGGTTCCTTTCTGTTGAAACGTTTCGTCTTTCATCCAAAAGACTTCATCATTCCAAGGAGCCACAACAAACTCAGTCTTATAAATAGCACTGGTTGAATGATGAAGTCGGCAGCACGGTGGCGCAACTGGTAGAGCTGCTGCCTCTCAGCGAGCAGGTCCCTGGTTCAAACCCCGGTCCAGGGGCCTTTCTGGGTGGAGTTTGCATGTTCTCTCCGTGCATGCGTGGGTTTTCTCCGGGTGCTCCGGTTTCCTCCCACAGACCAAAAACATGTATGTTAGGCTGATTGGTAACTCTAAATTGTCCCTAGGTGTGAGTGAGAGAGTGAATGGTTGTTTGTCTCGTTTGTCTCTATGTGTCCCTGTGATGGACTTGCGACCCATCCAGGGTGTACCCCGCCCCTTGCACAGTGATTGCTGGACATGGGCACCGGCGACCCCCGTGACCCAAAATGGAATAAGCAGGTAAAGATAATGGATGGATGGATGGACTGATGAAGTCCTTTGGATGAAGGATGAAATGTCTCAACAGAAAAAGAAACCGTCCAGATCACCTGACTGAACTTTGTTGGATTTGTTACCTGGATTATTGATTATGAACTTTGACATTGTTTGAACAGTTTGGTTTACGTTTTTCCATCCATCCGTCTTCTATAGATCATGCGTATTCAGGTCGCCGTGGCAACTATTCCAGGAAAGAAACCCAGACATCCCATTCCTCAAAACACACTCCAGCTCCTCTCATCATTCCAGGGCAGAAAGATTTATAACCCTCCAGTGAATGATTCATATTGTTACACAATTGTAATCCTTTTTTGTACAACTGTCAATTTGTTTCACTGTTTTATTGTTTAAAGTTTTTTTTTGTATTTCTGTATGTCGCTGCAACAAAAGAACCTTCCAGGCTGGTAATGTTAAAGTTTCTCCATCCATGCTGCATGTTGTACATTTTAAGTTGTCTTCACATCATTTTGAACCTGGTAAAAACAAAATAACTTTGTTTTTTATTCTAACATATGCACATTTTTTTAACAGAGTGTACTTTATTATTTCATAATCACTGAAATTGATACTATATTTAGAAAACAATAACTGCGGCTTTAAGAATACGTTTAATTCGTCACGCCGTTTGTTCAGGAAGTTTAGGAATATTTGGGTAAAATATTAAATATTTGGGTAAAAAAAATTATATAAAATATAATAAAATAAAATAAAATATTTGGGTATCTTGGTCGACTCACATCTCTCTTTTAAGCTCCATGTGGAAAACTTGGTAAAGAAACTGAAAGTTAAACTGGGTTTCTTTTTCAGAAACAGATCCTGTCTAACCCTGAATGCTAGAAAACGCCTTGTATCTGTGACTTTCCTTCCCTCAATTGATTATGGTGATATTATTTACATGAACGCTCCTACAAGAACCCTGCAGATGTTGGATGCTGTCTATCATGGTGCACTAAGATTCATAACTGGCTGTGATTATCGTACCCACCACTGCACTCTGTATTCATTGGTTAACTGGACATCATTAACTTCACGCAGACTCTCTCACTGGTACATTTTCATCTTTAAATCACTTCTTGGTCTGCTGCCTTCATACATCTCCTCCTACATGTCTCTGCGTGAGTGCAGCTACGGAGTGCGCTCTCAGGACATTATTACCTGCAGTGTTCCCTCAATGAGGACTGAACTAGGCAAAAGGGCCTTCTCCTACTGTGCTCCCGTTTCCTGGAATATCTTACAAAAAGATTTGAAGCTCTCGACCTTGACCTCTCTAAGTGTCTTTAAGAATCTGTTGGACTCCTGGCAGGGACCAATGCAGACATGTTCCTGTTGTTAGTTTTCTACATTTTTTGTTTTGTTACCTTTTCCTTTTAGCCATCCTATTTGTTTAAAAAAAAAACAACAAAAAAAAAAACTGTAGTATGCTTTTTTATAACTGTTTTGTTGTTGCTGTTGTCCATTGTTGTCATCTTTCTTTGTTGAAATCAGGTCTCTCTTGTAAATGAGTCCTCGAGGCTCAATGGGATTTACCTGTCTAAATAAAGGTTGATTGATAGGAAAACGAAACGGACGGCTCGTCCCCGAGCCTTCCCTGGCTGATATGATGGCCCTGTCAGACACCAAGAAGCAGACAAAACGTTCACTCCAGAATTTCTTTATGAAAGAAGTCGTCTCACATGCTGCTGTTGTGCATCATCATACACAAACAGGACAATCCACACAATCATACACACAGCTTTACAGCAAACCTCTCCTGTGATCAGAAGGTGTTACACATTTTACAACTTTGCCAGGCTGCTGCCGTTTTAAAATTTTGATTTGACAGTACTATGTCTGGGTTCGCTCTCAGCTACCACTACCGGTATATAAAATTTCAGCTGAACAGCTCTAAAAATGCCTGCGTTATCAATTTTTTTCCCTTTTAGCTCAGGCGGCCATCTTGGATTTTTGGTTTGTATTCAGTATGTGATAGGGAACATTCTCAGCTATAACCTCTCCAAATTTCAGCTCTATATGTATAAAAATTACTGATTTAAAGCTATTTAAATGTAGCTTTGGTGGCCCGTCTTGAATATTTTATTTCAATTCAGTATTTAATGGGCATTGCTCTCAGCTACCAGCACACAAAATTTAAGTTCAATGTCTCTAAAACTGGATGATTTATAATATTTTTTCTTTGAAGCTCAAGTGGCCATCTTGGATTTCTGATTTGTCTAGTAGAGATCGTTGTCAGCTACCACCACACCAAATTTCAGCTGAATAGCTCTAAAAATGGCTGAGTTATCATATTTTTCCCCTTTTAGCTAAGGCAGCCATCTTGGATATTTGATTTGCATTAAGAATGTATAACAACTCGCACTCAGCTACAACCATACTTAATCTCAGCTCAATATCTCATAGAATGACCGAGTTATAGTCAATTTTGTGTTTTCTGAGCTAGCTGTGGCAGCCATCTTGAATCAAAACAGCTCCAAACAATCACTTCTACAGATACATCTGATGATTACTGTGAGTTTCAAGCAAATCCAACAGTGACTCTCTAAGTTTTCTTCAGGGAGCTGCGACCTCACAGCAGCAGTTAGTGAGGAGTGTCCCGTCAGGCGTTTTGTATGGGAAAAATGGCGTCTTTGTTTGCAAATTACGTTGCCATGGTAACTCGAAACGCCAATAAAAGTAACAGCACACATCACGGTGCTGAGCTGGTCGTTTTGATGTAACATTAATGGAGGTACACGTTGCGGTACAAGTATTTATCCTGTCATGATATTGTTTCCGTAGAGATGTGTTCACTCCTGACGCTGCAGGAAGCTTCCAGCCTGGACCTTCTAAGAAAAGACGAGGTTTGCTTTCAGCTTGGCAGATTTTCACAGACCGAACCCCGCAGACAGCTCAAGGTTCAAAACACACACTGAGTCACGCAGCCGGTGAGCGTGAAGATTTAATCGTCTCATCGAGACCATTGACTTCAGTTCAGGTTCACAGAAGGCTGGTTGCACAACTGAGTGTGTCCAAATCACAGCAAACAGCCTGTCAACAACAGTTTAGTGTTACGACCTTTGTTTGTGTTTCAGTCTGCAGTACAGCTTTAATGCTGATTGTTTTGTGCGATACAGTTTTGAATTAAAATCTTGCTTAAAACTCAAACGTCCAATTAAAATGTTCAGGGTGCCGAATGATGCACCGAGAAAGTTCCTGATGTGAAACAAAGCAGCACAACTCTGCAGAGTAGTTGGACATCACAGGTGCACCATGAGGCAGTGTTTTTTAAAACCCTACAGTTAAAATAATTTAATAAATCACCTCGCATGAGTTACAGATGTTTTCTTCAGCAGCAGAATGATATTGCTGCTGCTACACATGGAGCGCAAAACGAAAATAACCCCCTTGTTTTTGGAACAAACAAAGTATAAATGTAAGGCATCGGTATGAGAGGCCACAGAGGAAGTCAGCAGCACACAGAGTCCTCCATCAGGACAACAGAAGGAGGCTGAAGGTACAAGTCACATAATTCAGCAGTGTACGATGACTGCAGGCGGGCTCCATGTTTATCCTTCGTTATGATAGACCTTGTTTGCACAGTCGTTAGCGGCAGACACACCAAACAGACTGCGTTCATTCACAGTGTGGCTAACAGCAGACAGCGTGGACAGTCACTCGTTTAACCCGTCTGTCCATAGCCTTGGAAAAAAAAGAACAATCCAACGTTCCTCCACAGTCTGAGGGCTTCAGGTTCACTAGCAGAGGTCAGAGACATAATCAAAGTCTCGAAAGCTGTCCTGGTCCTTACGGGTGAGCACACGGGGCTCGCGTGGAGGAGTGAGCGCCGGTTGTTCAGTGGTAAACTCTTCGTCAAAGTTACTGACGTCTTCTTTGCTGCCAATGGAGGGAACGAAGGGAGGAGGTACCTTCCTTTGCAGCAATGCCTCCCAGTCCATGTTCTGGAGTGAGAGGTGGAGAAAAGAAATGAAAACATCATCAGTCAGATTATAATCACCCATGTTTGGTGGTCTGAACAAAATGTGTCCTGATTCTTGATGTAGGACCTCCTTCTGACCTGACTTGACCTCAAACAAACAGCTAAATTACCATACATGCCGGTGTATAAGCCGCTACTTTATTCTCACACTTTGGACCTCGCAGCTTATACACAGGAGCGGCTACGTTCAGAAAGTCAGAGATTCTTTATTGTCATTCACATCAAATGTGGTACATGTGGTGGAACGAAATAATGTACACAGGGTCCCAGTTACATCTAACAATAAAATGTAAAAGAAAAAAGAAAAGAATAAGATCTAAGATATGAACTAAGAAAAACATAAACTGAAAATACAATAAGCACTAATAGCATAAAAACAATACGCCAAACATCAGCACGAACATGAGTCTGTGTGAGCAGATGATCACGCATGAACACATCAACATGAAACAGATCAGCAGCAACATGAAACAGATCAGCAGCAACATGGTGTGATTTTTCCCAGTGATTATCCTGGTTAGAGATTCATGAGTCTAACAGCCTCAGGGTAGAAGCTGTTCCTCAGTCTAGTGGTTCTACACTTAATGCTCCTCAACCTCCTTCCTGAGGGGAGCGGGGCAAAGAGTGCATGTGCTGGGTGAGTGGGGTCCTTCATGATGCAGGTGGCTCTCTTCCTGCATCTAGAGGTGTAGATGTCTGTGATGGTGGGGAGACTGACTCCAACAGACTTCTGTGCAGCCTTCATCACTCTCTGCAAAGCTTTTCTTTCTGCAGCTGTGCAGCTTCCATGCCACATGTTGATGCTCGAGCACAGGATGCTCTCCACTGCACACCTGTAGAAGGAGGTGAGGACTGAGCTTCCCAGACCAGCTCGTCTCAGCCGTCTGAGGAAGTAGAGGCTCTGATGAGCTTTCTTGATCAGGCTGGTGGTGTTGTTGCTCCAGCTGAGGTTGTCAATCATGTGTACACCCAAGTACTTGTAGCTGGAGACCACTTCCACCGCAGATCCTCCTATGTTTGGTGTGTGTGTGTGTGTGGGGGGGGGGGGGTTGTTCCTTCTTAAGTCCACAATCATCTCCTTTGTCTTCTTCACATTGATGTGAAGGTTATTCTCTTTGCACCAGCTCTCCAGGTGTTCCACCTCCTGACTATAGCTGGACTCATCATTGTTTGTGATACATCCCACCACAGCTGTATCATCTGCAAACTTTACAATATGACAGCCTGGATGGGTAGCTGCACAATCATACGTGAGCAGTCAATTATGCGCTTCTCTGAGTCCATGAGACGAACCACCGCTGGGGGGTGGATACGTTTGTCCACAGTCCATGGCCCAAAATGCTCCTGTATGCGTTTTTTCTCCGCCTCCTCTTATCTTACGGTCTTTGAACCAAGCTCAGGAGGAGGGATTGGCAGCTCTCCTGGTGGCCCCGAGCGCGTGGGTGCACCATGGTTTCTAGTCCTGAAACGCCTGTTGTCGGAGTGCCTGTGGGAACTGCCATAGAGGGAGGACACTCTCCTTCCAGGCAGGAGGAGCGACCAGGAGTTACCCAGAAATAGGTCAGCACCTGTGGTCTGGCCGTTGAACGAATCCACTTACAGAGGATGGGTTGCCCACAGGATGTAATGCGCACAATTCAGGTTTCACGTGTTGCATCTACCACAGTGATGTACACATCAAAGTGGACAGCTTTTCAGTGCTGATGCACAGAGAAGGATGTAGAGGCCTCCTCATGTTCTTTAGGTGGCATGCTGTTCTTTCTGCAGCAGCTGATGGATAGAAATCTGCATCCAGCACGTTTAAAACGTACGCTGCAGCCATCTCTTCTTGACATGAAGGTTTCTGAGACAGAACAGGTTTTATCATCCTCTGATGAAACGTTTTTCTAAAAGGTGTACAGAGACGCAGGTCTGTCCCACACCCACTTGTTTTCCAGTGGGATTTAATACTGGTCCTGCAGGTCATGATCAAAGCTTCATTTGAGCCTTTGGATCAGGTTCCACTTAAATTCTTGTCTCTTTAAACAGCACTGCTGCTGGCTTTAACACCCGCTAAGAGAGTGAGTGTTTTTATCTGCCTTCTCTGCCGCTCCGTCATGTCTCAGAATCCAGGCTGACGGTAGTTCAGCTGATTTAAGACCAAACCCAGCTTTTATGCCTAAAACATCACGAGCTCTTTTAAATCAAGAGTGATATCGTTGGAGGGGTTTTTTCCCTCCCCCCCACAGATCAGAAGAAGAAGCATCTTTTCATCTTTTCTGTCCGGTGCGGGCGTTGACGTGTTACACAGCTGTAATGCGTCAAACTCAACACCTGTTTGTGCATTATAGAGATGCATCTGCAGGTCGCCCGATATCCACCCAGCGCTTGTCACACTGGCTGTGTGAGGCCATTTCTGAAGCCTGCAAGCATCAGATTTAGAGCCTCCTGTCAACCTCAAGCACACTCGACCAGGATTATCGCATCTTCGACTGCCTTGCATAATGGTATGTCAATGCAGGACATTTGCACTGCGGCTGCATGGTCAACACCCTGCTCATTTATTCGCTTTTATTTACGTGATGTGACGACCTGTTCCATGACACATTCTGTCCTTAGTGCTCTAACAGAATGAATATTGTTGTTTTTCATGGAACTCTGTTTAAGCTCACATCTGTCTGCATGCATTACTATGTGAGATGTTGTTATCAGTCACAAGTTGTGTCTGTGATTTTGGTTCTATTGTCACTAATCTGTTCATGACTATTGTTACCAATCAGTTCATTTGATCAATAATCAGTTCATTGTTTTTTGATTTGTTTATAATACTCAGCCATGAACCAGTTGGTTCATGCCCCCCCCCCCTCTTCTTTTCAACATCCTTTCCCCGTTGAAAATTTCCGGGGCGTTCATGTTTTTGTCAGAACGCATAGTTACACAACATGCGTCTGTGCATGGCACATAATTACGCAACGCGTAGTTATGCACACGGGGAGCTGAGTGAAAAGACGTTTTTTGGGCAAGCTTCCGCGTCAAACTGTGTTCGAATGGACCCAGTGAGGCGAGGACCACATCGGCTTCGCCCTTTACCCACTAAAGCGAAGGCCTTAAAGGGCGAAGCTTATACGACATAGAACGTTGGTTACGTACTGTAACCCCAGATTCTATGAGTATAAGCGTAGTCCTTTAAGCGTCAGGCCTCACTGGCTCCTAAATGGCTGAAGAAAAAAGCTATTTTGGGAGCCGATTTCCCGCTCTTAACGTAATTTATACGGACCGGGTGGGGCCCACACAGCAGGTGGGCGTGGACTAAATTTTTTCAGTGCTTATGCTGCGCATAACAGGATAAACCCACTAAAGCGAAGGCCTTAAAGGGCTATGCTTATACTCATAGAATCTGGGGTTACAGTACGTAACCAACGACTTCAGCAGCTTAAACAATGGAAGGTGTGTTCTATAGACCAGGAATTATGATATTATCTCAACATCTTAAAGCAAAAATCCACCAGGTATCCGTCTCAACTGGATCACAAAGCGGACTTTAACAACAGGTGTGAACAGGCCCTAAGGCTCTGTGGAGTGTAGGTTCACGAGCATCCTTACTCTGAAAAACGCCTGCTTCTTCACCTCCTCTGCATCCTTCTCACCAGACCCCAGCCTCCTCTCCGGGTTTCTTCGTAACAGCTGAACACATACAAGAGTAAGAAATGACCAGAGTTCTTTCTGCTCGTCAGGGGAGCGTGTTTTTACTTACGTTAATGAAAAAAGGAGGATTTGTTCAGTTTAATTTGAATGTGACAAATACAGCACGACTGGGAGGAAACATGCGGAAGGGTTCTTACTCGTCTCATGATGCCGATGGCCTCAGTGGAGAGGAAGCGTGGGTAGCGAACTTCATCATTCACAATGCTGTCGAACACCTCCTCTTCATCGTCGCCTGGGAAAGGAGACTAGACAACCCACATAAACACAAGCGGGTTTAAGTACGTAGTCCTAGTGGAAGTACACGCCCTGTCATTAGATGCTGTGGGACACTGGGGGACCATTATCTTACCCCACGGTAAACAACTCCGGGTCAATTTGTTCATTTACCAAACCTTCCTTTTTCAGTTTTACAGTAAAAGCTGTCTGTCGTGTCTCCATCCATTTTAACTTGGTACCAACTTTGATGATTTAACCTTTTGTAATACATTAATGAAATGAAAATTAGCACATCTAGTTTGTCTCTATGTGTCCCTGTGATGGACTGGAGGCCTGTCCAGGGTGTCCCCTGCCCCTCGCACAGGGACTGCTGGACATGGACCACAGAGACCCCCACAACTTGAAAAGGAAGAAGCGGGTAAAGATAATGGATGATTACTGGTGGTAGCATCATGTTTTTTGAACAACCCCACATTTGGTCTCTAAGCCGCTGTGGTGTAGAGGTAGGGCAGCTGACTTGGGACCAGAAAGTTGCAGGTTCAGCTCCCGCCATGCCCACATGTCATGGTGTCCTTGAGCAAGACACCCCAACTACTCCTCAGGCACCTACATATCTGCCCACTGCTCCACCTGGGTGCATCTCACATGTGATGGGTTAAATACAGAGAACTAGTTTTGTCCTTGTGTAGAAACATACAACGATGACAACACATGGCACTTTGTATTTCAAGATAGGAAAAATCTAAAAATACAATTCTAGTCACATCAGACATTGAGCTTCTAAAATAATATGTCGATTTTGTCAGTTTATCTGAAATCTCTCTCTGTATTTCAAACAAGCAGCGCTTTAATAAAACGTCTTACTGATCATCGAGTCGTGGAGATGGTCGTCTTGGAAGTACACGCAGCGGAAAAAACAACACTTTAAGAAAGACGCACTAGTTTTATACACAACAATACTGACTATGAAATGAAATGCAGTTGGATCTGTAGGGTCATGTGGAGCCGGTTCCTCTGGACCAGTAGGTGCATGATTACAGTCAGAGAGAAAAGAAAAAGCTCCTTCGGTCAATTCTGGGGTTTAACATATGAAGAAGTTTTTAAAAATGATCTGGTCTTCAGCAGGTTCTGACTTTACTTACATCTAACCTCAAGCGTAAACACACAAACAAAAATACAAGTGGGAAACGTTTAAAACATCTGCCAGTCTTCCCAGGCGTGAACGTCTCAGCAAATGTGCAATGCTTAAAGAAACTTAAAAAACAAGTTCAGACCTAACGTTCTAGCTCATTACAGGACAGTTAGAACAAACAAGAGGGACTTGTGTGGAAGAGTTGCTCTTCTGTCTGACAAGAACATGGCAGCACGACTTAGAGCTGGATCTTAATGAACAACAAAACATCTGGACCAGTGTGCTCTGGACAGATGAGACCAGAGTAGAGATGTTCACCCATAATTCACAGCATCACATTTGGTAAAAACCTGGGCGTTCGGCTGTCAGAGTCAACCTGAAGTCCTCTGTAGATTAAAGATTTTAGAATCGAATATAAAACAGACCAGCGCCACAACAGCAGAAGCTTGGACTAAAGTGAGTCATGTAGCAACAGAACATGACCCCAAACAGCCGAGCTCCAACAGAACAGCTCAATAAATAAATAAATACCAAGGTTCTACAACGGTCCAGTCCAAGTCCAGACTGATAAGGTGTGGGAGGATTTTAGGAGAGCAGAGCAGAAATGATCGAACACAATGTTGGAGAGAAGAGTAGACCAGAACCCCCCAAAAATGATGTAAGAGGAGGTTCTGCCAGCTGCTGGGTCATCTTTTCACACACATCTGTTTGATGTGGCTGATAAATAAAAACCTGGTGAAATCTGCTGTCTTTGTTCACTCGAGAACATTTTATTATAAACCAGAGAAATAGCATTTCCTGCAAAAATGCAGTGTGAATACTAATTGCTGAAGAACTTGCTGAAAAACAGCTGAAATTAGCTAAAATAATATGCTGAAATGTAGCCGAAATGGAAGAACGAGCCTTAATTAACAGAAAAAAGCAGAAAAAACACATATTTGCTGAGTTAGGTTTAAATAAACAGAAATTAGCATAAAATAGCCAAAAAGTAGCTGAAAAGGCAGAAATAAGCATAAACTATCAGAAGGAAACTGAAAGAGCTGAAAAGAGCTAAAAAATGTGGAATTAGCTATAAAGGCAAAAATTAGCATAAACACAGCTAAATAGTAGCTAAAATAGCAGAAAAAGATGAAACTAGCAGAAATGTGGTGAAACAAGCATAACAAGATAAAATAAAATTAGCAGAAAGAAGTTAATTAAGATGAAAGTAGCAGAAATTACCTTGAAAAACTTGAATTTATCTGAAAACAGCTGAAATTAGCTAAACAATGCTAAAAAAGGTAGCTAAAAATGTAGAACAAGTTTAAACTAGAAGAAGAAAGCAGACAGAATGTGCTGACCCAATTAGGCTGAAATTAGCAGAAATGAGCACAAACAAGTGGAAATAATCTGAAAAAAGCTGAAATTAGCAAAAAAAACAAACAAAAAAAACTACTGTAGCTAAAAAAGTAGAAATAACTTTAAATTACTAGAAGGAAGTGGAGAGAACACTTTTCTGCTGAATTGGGCTGAAAAAAGTTGAAATGAGTGCAAACAGATGGGTGAATAACTGAAAAAGCTAAAATTAACATAAAAATAGCTAAATGGTAGCTGAAATAGCAGAAAAAGCTGAAACTAGCAGAAATATGGTGAAACAAGCATAACAAGATAAAATAAAACTAGAAGAAAGAAGTTAAGCTGAAAGTAGCAGAAATTACCTTGAAAAACTTGAATTAATCTGAAAACAGCTGAAATTTGCTAAACAACAAAGGTAGCTGAAAGTGTAGAACAAGCTTAAACTAGAAGAAGCAAGCAGACAGAACATGTTGACCAAATTAGGCTGCAATTAGCAGAAATGAGCACAAACAAGTGGAAATAATCTCAAAAAAGATGAAATTAGCACCAAAAAAAACCCTGCTGAAAAGTAGCTAAAAAGGGAGAAAGAACTTTAAATTACTAGAAGGAAGTAGAGAGAGCACATTGTTGTAGAATTAGGCTGAAAAAAGTTGAAATGAGTGCAAAAAAATGTGGAAATAGCCAAAAAAGCTAAAATTTACATAAAAACAGCTAAATAGTAGCTGAAATTGCAGAAAAAGCTGATAGTTGCAGAAATAAGCTGAAAGGAGCACAAGATGAAATTAGCAGAAAGTAGTTAGAAGAAGCGCAAAAATGTTTTAGTTAGCAGAAAGAATCTGAAAGGAGCACAAAACAGCTGAAAGAACAGCTGAAAGTAGCTGAAAAAAGTTTAAATTTGCACAAGGAAGCTGAAAGAAGCTGAACCAGAACAAAATGTGAAAGGAGCAGTAAAAGGTTGTAAACTGATCTAAATATTTGAAGGATGGAAAAAGAGATCAATTCATTTTCTATGAGGAAAAAATGGCAGAAAAAGCTAAATATTTCAAAAAGCTAAAGTTGCACCAATACCAAAAGCCACTGCACCCTTCTCCTGAACGAGCTGAATGTTTATATCTATTATTGAGCATGCATCAGGAAGTTTTGATCTGTGATTTGTTGAAACAGCACAACACTGTGGAACGAGAAAGATGAAGAAAAACGTACAGAAGAAAAATGACTCTAGAGTGTGAATGCTTCACGAACATTCCACCGTTAAAGGACCCGGTCCAGACCAGACCAGTTTTATTTCGCTCCGTTAGGAAAACCCCAGCACTGAAAAAGGCAGGACTTTCTGTCTTTCTGTCTGTTGGTTCTCACCTCTCCCACCAGCATTTCGTAAATAAGGACTCCAAGTCCCCACCAGTCTACAGCTCGAGTGTACGACGTATCGGTGAGCACCTCGGGGGCCAAAAACTCAGGAGTCCCACAGAATGTGCTGGTCCGGTCCCCATACCCCATTCCTGCAGGGACAGAACAAGCTCTCTGTTTCACTGCAGAAGTGCAGGACAGACTCAGATCAGCATCAGCCTCTACCTTCTTTACACAGCCCGAAGTCTGCGATCTTCACATAACCGTCTGTGTCCAGCAGCAGGTTGTCCAGTTTGAGGTCTCTGAGGGGACATGCAGGTAAGACAAACCTCTGAGGTGTTTTGTTGAGCACAGGACGATGCAACAGAAATAAAAATGTAACTTGTTTAAACAAATTGTTTGCACGGCCTCGCTCACCTGTACACAACCTTATGGTCATGAAGGAACTGAAGTCCAAGAACCACACAGGCAGCATAAAACCTGAAGTCATGAGAGAAAACCACAGATCTGGACTCAACCTCCAGTGAAACAGAATCTGCTCACTCACTACAGGCTCACGTTCAGGCTGCTGTTTAATATGTCATATTATTTTACATTATTAGTGTAAAGTGTTTAGTTTACATATTGATCCTTATTTACTGTTTCTCTTTTTATACTTTATATTTTTGCTGTTGTTGGATGTATCTGGGACCCTGAGTACAGTTTCGTTCCACCTCATGTACCACATGTGATGCGAATGACAGTAAAGATACTTGAACTTGAACCGCACCTACTTTGTGTGGAGTGTGTGTGTGTGTGTGTGTGTGTGTGGGGGGGGGGGGGGGGGCTGACAACCAGCTGTTTTCCAGCTGCTACACAAAGTGATCTTCAAAGCATAATCAAAAACAGCTGGACCTCTTTATTTGATCTCGTCTTGTCCCATTTCTTCCCTAATATTTAATTTAGATCACTCGCTTTTTAAAATTACTTAATTAATTAATTGCTTCAAATCAATCAACTAAAGCCTAAGAGGATTACAACGTTTATGCCCACGGTGTGAGATTCGGTGTGTTTGTGCCGTCTTTTCTTTACTCTTTGTTTCCTGCACTCCCCAGTGTTCTTCCTCCTTGTGGTTCAGCTGCTGTCTCACCTGTCTCTAATTCTAATCCCCCCAGGTGTTTGTCATCATGTCTCATCAGTGTCTCCATTTATTCAGCGTCTTTGTGTCTTTTCATTTGTCCATGGGTCGTCCTCCTGTAGGCGCCATGCTCTGTTCCTCTGTCATTGGGGAGTGTATGTAAACATTTGAACAGACCTCTGTTGGTTTTGACTGTACATCAAGTAGAAAGGGGTGTTTTGAAATAGAATAAAACATAAGGTTACTTAACATAACCCTGATTCTTTATCTAACTTCGTTCAGTGTTTATGGGGGAAACGCTCCAGCGTGACAATCTACGGAAGCTCCAATGACATCATGTCTGTCAGACAGACCGGCTGAGCTGTGCTCAGGGCTCCGCCTCCATCATGACACCACAGCCAACGGACCACCTCCTTCCTACTCATTCTCACTTTCTTCCCGTGAGAAATTACAACTAGCTCCCTCAGCGCAGTCAGGCTAGCTAGGTTAGGTTACCTAGGCATCCCGTAAAGATGTACGTAGCCAAACGCAGTTCCTGGCGTCAGCTTGAACCGTGTTGAGTTGGTGCTTCGTAAAAAGCATCTTTGTTACATTTGGGAGCGGTGACTGCGTCAAGGCGAGCTGTTCCCACCGCTCAGTTTTTAAGTATTTGAGTAGTTACACGTGTAACTCAAGCTAATGAGTCAAGGCGAGCTAGCTTTCCTTAGAGGTAGCATTAGCTTGGTACCTTTACGGTTTTCATTCCAGCTAACGTGTTACAACGAGCATTTTTTTTTAGCCTAGCTGTTAGCCTGGTTTTAACCCCGTGGCTTGCTTTAGCGACTAACAGTTAACGTGTCACTACGAACTAGTTCACGTCTCACTATGACTGTGGCACCCACCCCCACCAAAGGGTCAGAACCTAAGGCCAAAGGGGCTGTATCCCGCCCGTGCCCCTCATCATGCGGGGCCTCCATTTTGGGCAGGGACCCTCACCCAATGTGCATAGTATGCATGGGTGCTAAACACGCACAAACGTCACTGGTGAACCCTCAGGCGTGTCTGCACTGCTCCTCCATGCCAGAGAAAATCCTAGAGAGGAGGCAGTCGCGAACAGCCAGGACCCGTACCTATCTGTAACCGTGGTAACGGCCATGGAGCTTCCGTAGCTGGTCACGATGGAGCGTTTCCCACAGTGAAACACCGAACGAAGTTAGAACAAGAACCTTGGAAATTATCAAAACATTGCCCTGAGACAGTTTGACGTCAAACTTTGTGGAGTGATTTAAATTCCTGTTGAGCTCCAAACCAGATTTTAATCTGTCAGAACTGAAGCTCGCCTGTACACACATACACACAGAGGTGTTACGCACACGGCTCGGGGCTCTGTGAAGACGTCCGTGTGGATGTGCATCATCAGGTCGCCTCCTGCCGTGTACTCCATCACAAAACACACGTGCTCCGGAGTCTGGAAGCAGGCGAACAGGTTGACCAGGAAGGGGTGGTGCGACACGTTCACGATCTCAAAGATCCGCTTCTCGCACATCAGACTGGGAGCAGGAGGGAATGAATCAGGAGAGAGAGAAGTAACACAAATCAAAACTGTCCACTGGGAGGTTCAGACGTCAGAAGTGTCATGACGAGAGACAGACGGGGACGCAGTCAGAGGGAGACAGCAGGACACACCTCTCCACCTCATCCCGAGAAACGATGTCTCCCTTCTTCAGAGCTTTGATGGCGTACATTGTACCTGTCTTCTTGTATTCTGACAGCAACACCTGGACACACACACACAAACACTTATCAACGTAGTCTGAAAGTCACAGATCGATCTTTCCATTAGTCTTTTTGAATCAAATGGTTTTGACCAGATGAGAACCATTCTTTAAATAAAACTGTGAAAATATTAAATCATGAGGATGATCATTGAGATGGATTATATAAGCCACCGATGGTAACTATTTTCTTCGTTTAATTCCTTTATAATTTTAAGTAAGCGTGCAGAACATAACTCGTCTGGATCTGTGTTTTTGTTTTGAATACCTGGTTGTGAACTTCTTGTGAAACACCGAACAAACATTTCATTATAAACATTAAAACTGTTCAATTTCCTGCAGAGAAAACTACCGTAATTTCCGGACTATTGAGAGCATCTGAATATAAGCCACGCCCACAAAAAATGTGGGAGTCTGTATGGGAGACTGTGACGAAGTGAAAATTCAACACGTCTGCTGCTTCCTTAGATAAAGAACTTTATTAATTGTCTTTTTTATGTGAATGCTCCTGTAAAGTGTCTTGAGACAACTTTGTTGTGATTTGGCGCTATATAAATAAACTGAATTGATTTTTATTTAAGTAATAAGCTACACTTGTCTATAAGCTGCGGGTGTAAAGTTTTGGTGGCATGAACCTCGTTAGCCCGTATAAAAATAAAAATCCATAAATTAGCTGAAGCATTGTATTAGCCGCAGTGTTCAAAGCATGTGAAAAAAAGTAGTGGCTTATAGTCTGGAAATTACAGTAGATTAAATACATCAAACAGGTGCAAATCATAGCTTCATCTTAAAGCTCAGTCCCATAACTTAATATACGTCACATTTACAACAAAAACTGACACTGTTGAAATGTTTTCAGACTCACGGAGTGACCGTTTGTTATCTTAATATTAAAATAAAATTCAGTTTATGGAGTTATACCTTCCCAAAGTGTCCACGTCCCAACACAGCAATCAGCCTGAAGTCCTGAAGGGACAGAGGACCTTTCTTCTGTCTGGTGGAGAGTTCAAATAAAAAGTAACACAGAAACATCATAAATGTTCACCACAAAATCACGTGTGTCCATCTGGAGTGAGAAACTGATCCTGGGATTAATAAGAACGTGAACACAACATAAATAACAGCTTTTTCTCCTCTGTATCCAAAGTTAGGACCATTTAAATGTAAGAACCGCCCTGAACGCCACTTAATATTTAAACAGCTCAGGCTGGTTTGAACACACAATTCACATTTTTATTCACAAACCACATCCTGAACTTTCACAAGACAAAATAATGAAACGCAGACACGAGCGCGCAACGGCTTCACAAAGTATTCAACTGTCTCAGTCAGACTTCTCTCATAACTGAGTGAAAATGTTTAATTTATTAATTTATTTATTTATTAAGGATTATTGAGCATGGACTTTGTTGTTTAATTTATTAACCTCACGCATGTTTTCAGACTGTAGGAGGAAACCGTCACGTGTGTGGGGAGTCAACCACGCAAGAATCAAACCTGTGACCTGCTTGCTGGACGGCCACAGTGCAAACAGAATTTTATGAGACTGAACATTTTTCAGAGCAGCTCTGGCAGCAGGTAAAGTTAAGGCTGATTTTCTGCCATTCCTTCCTGTAAAACCTCCCCAGCTCTGTCTGACTGAACGTGGACTTTCATGTCTCCAGAGACGTCCAGTTCCAGTCAGGGCTCTGGCCCACTCTACAGGGGACATCCAGACAGTTGTCCCCAAGCCTGTGTTGTCTTCACTGTGAGGTTTGGGTCATTGTCCCACTGGAAGGTCAACCTTGGGCCCAGTCTGAGCCTCGTGGAACAGGTTTTCATGGAGGATCTCTCTATACAGTAGTCCCTCGCTACTTTGCGGTTCGACTTTCGCGGTTTTTCAATGATTGTCAACTTTAATATTAATGTGACTGAGACGGTACGAGATAAAAAGTTAATGAAAATAATACTTCAAAGAGTCACCGCTATTTTGTAGTTTTCTTTCAATAAGCCTACACTGTATCGCCAGTCAAAAGAACTACATTACCCAGAAGTCAACAGTGCTTCCGGATGCTGCTTTCTGCCAAACTGGAGGGAAAGTTTTGCAACGCAAATCTGCACCATCTATGAAGCTCACAGAACTGGCAGGAAAGTCATCCTGAAGCTCACTTATACACGTGCACATCAACCTGGACGGGGCGGTGGACTTCGTCATCTGTAGGTCTGCAGAACCAGAACTGAGCCCCAACAGAACCGAGCTGCTGTTCTGCAGAGCTGGTGAGTAACATTTTCAGTACTGTACAGTACATATATGTATGTTGTTAAAATGACGTAGGTTTAAGAGTTTAGAACATTGCAAGAGTGTGGGAAGGGTTTATAAAGTGTTAATATATATATTTAAATACTAAAACAAATGAATCATACAGCACAAATAATACTAAATAAGAACGCACGATATAAAATTGTGTTAATCTACTTGTAGAGGGGGAGGCAGGTCTGACCGGCCGGTTGAAAGAGGTAAAAAAAATGTCCAGTTAAGCCAGTGCTTCTCAATTATTGTCTGTTACGCCACCAGTAGGAAGATGTAAACATTTTGCGCGCCCTAACTCTCCGCCGCGACTGTAAATAGTATAATTTGTCTGTAAAATTGTTAGACGTACACCTCTGCATAACATTGTATCCTTATTAATATTTAAAAAAGAATATAGATAAACTTACAACGAAGAATAACTTTATTAACATAATTTTATAGTCTGTAAAAGAAACAAATTAAAGTGCATCAATTTGCCTGAAAAAAAAAAATCCTTATTTAAACTGTAAACATTTTTGACCATTTGATACTGAAAAAAAATGTAATCAATAAATAATAATAAATTCAAATTGATCAGTAACATTTTAACTCATGAGTGTTATATAAAACACTTTGACCTACAAAACAAAAATAAATAAAACAATTTGGGCTGATTTTTTAAAATCAAAATGAGGAAGGCACACTCATCGATAAAACTAAAACATTTTGTCGACACGAAAGAGGAAAGAGGGGGCAGGTGTCGCTCTCGCTTGAGTTTACTCTTTGTTGACTGCGCGCTGTGAGTGACGTCCAGAGCGCATGGACATGAAACACATGCAGCGGAGGTGTGGGAATTATTTATTTATCGTCTCAGCAGCAGAGGGGAGCGACACGGTTCAGGCGTAGCTCCCAAAACGACAAGACAGTTATTTGTTCATAACTTTATTAGTAAATCTGAGAGGTACGAACAAACAGCTGCTGGAATGAACGAGACAAAATGAGAATGGTGGAAAAAAATTTAAAACTACTCCCTGCGGCCAAAAAAAATCATGTTCCCCAGGGTCACATGCGCCCCCCCACCCAGGCCCCCCCAGGGGGACGCGCTTCACTATTTGAGAAGGAGTGAGTTAAGCTCAGACGGATCAGCTGATCACCAGCCGTGCGCGTCTCCACACCTGCTGTCATCTGCGGTGAAGGAAGCAGCAGCGCTTTCAATTAAAATAACCTTGTTCTGTATTTTTCCAAATAATGTTGCTGTAAAAATATTTTTGTTCCCCTGTATAACAGCCTCTCTTTAGAGTTGATTTTTAGGCTGTTTCATATGATAATATTGATGTGGTGACTTGTTAATTAACAGGAAATCTTATATCTTCCTTTCGTTACGTTTTGAAACCATCATGTCAAACTGATTTGCTTACAAAAGCAGTAAAAGTTTAATTTAAAAAAAACTCAGGTTATTTTTCAGGTTCGGGCCTGTACAGTTCATTTGATCGGGTTCGGAAAAAATGGCTACAAGCTGGGTCCGGGCCGGATTCTTTAGGCCCGAGTGCAACTCTAACATGCGGTACATGAGGTGGAATGAAATTGTGTACACAGGGTTCCAGTTACACCCAACAATAGCAAAAATATAAACTGTAAAAGAAACAGTAAATAAGGATCTAAGATATAAACTAAGAAATATGCTAAACAGAACATGAAAACAAAACATAAATAACATCAACAACAGCTTTTTTTCATATTACTTAGTTTATATCTTAGTTTATGAATATAGCGTTCCTACTTGGCAGTGTTAAACCTATCGTGGGGGTGTGTGGAACATAACCTCCGCGATAATCGAGGGACTACCGTACTTATCTCATGTTCCTAAACCTGACCCGTCTTCCAATAGTTGCTGCTAACAAGAACAACTATTGGACTTTAACTTTGGGTTAGCTAAACACAGCATGATGCTGCCACCACCACGTTTCACTGTAGGGACGGTGCTGGGAAGGAGCTGCCTGGTATCTTCCAGACTCAGAACAGAGAGCTAACAGTTCAGCCTCGGCACCATCAGACCAGAGAATCTTGTTCTTCACAGTCTGAGAGTCCTTGAAGCTGTTTTCAGGCTCGATGGAGGTCTGCAGATCAGGTGGTCCGTGGTCCCATCTGACACAGGATCTCTGAAGCAGATCGATCCCGGAGTTTCTTATCGTTACATAGTATGGCCGGGCCAACAACTCCTGGAAGATCCAGCGAGTGTCATACTTCCATGTGAGAACGATGAAGGTCATGAAACTCTTGGGAACATTCAGAGAGCCACAATGATCCTCAGATCTCCACCTCACAACAATCGAGTCCCTTTGACCCCACGGTTCGGTTTTTCTCCGACAGTCAACTAGAAGACCTCCCACAGAGACGTGGACGTTATTTCAAATCATGTCCAATCGAATGAGTTCACAACTGTTTTAACGTTTTCATTCTGGGACGCTGAACGGAGATTAGCGAGAACAAAGCGAGTTTAAGTGGTTGTAGCATCAGGCGGCAACATGACATGAAAAAGGCGAGGAGGTCTGAACACTTTGTGAATCCAGTGAAACGTAAACGCGTTCAAAGCCAGCTGTGGATCTGTGTGTACCTGCTAACAGCTGGGGTTCGGGCAGGGGAGTCGGGGGTCAGGTCTTGGGAGGAGGGGGGCTCGATGACTGGCAGTCGGTCCTTTTGGAGAGTGTGAGGAAGGAGACATGAAGGAGAAGACATGCTGAGATGAGACACAGAGTGGAACGCAGGAGACGACTGTTCTTTATAATAAAACTGGACTGAACTGGAGCTGCTGGTGACACCGTGCGGTCAGACTAGCTGTCAGCTCGTCAGTCTAATCAGAATTAAACTACTTCAAACTGAGGGCCTTCAGAGAGCATCTACAGCAGGTAACATGATAACTGTTCATAACCCAACTTCAAAGCTTCAGAGCGTTCTTTAAGAAAGAACTTCAAGAAGATCAAACATTCCTGAGGTTAAACTCCAGCTGTAGTGTTTGGGACACACATTTATTCAAACTCTGCTAAACTTTACCAACATCTAAATCTGAAGTTGAGTCTGAGTCTGATGCTGCTCGTATACGTGCTGATCAAAGTCAGGCTGGATTTAGCCCAGAAAATGTGCTTGATGCAGAGAAAATAATTTTTTTTTATTAAACTTGTAAGAGTTTGACCAACACAGACCCTCGACACACACCTCCGCTATGTCGTCTCTGTCTGTCTGTCTCACCGAAGTGTGTGTGTCCGAGTCTCGCTTGTAATCTCCTCTGACTGGAGAGTCGCTGTCCAGACTCAGCTTCTCCACCGAGATCTCCCTGAAAGGTTCACACAGACACACAAACAGGCCGACAACACAACAGGGCTGTTAGACGAGGGGCAAACAACACATCTCAGGCTTTGACCTTCACCAGGAAACACGAGGAGAAAGGTCGGAGGATGAGCTGTAACTACAGAGTTCTCCCAGCAGAACCGACCCGTCAGCACATCAGTCCATCTCACCCAGAGTTTAGAGCGAGGCTGTGTGCGTTGGGGCTGTAATTTCCAGAGTTGTTCACGGTGGGGATGGCGTTTCGGAGCAACCTCACCCAAGTCCCAATGTCCACATTCATCTGGCGGGCTCGGAGGAATGCCTTGCCTGGAAGAACAAATCCAGAGTCGGGAACGTGACATCGGTACACTGTCACTCAATAAACAAATAAAGATGGCCGCTTCACATTTAGTTGCTGAAGTAGCTGAATTTTCTTTAAGTTGTTTTTTTTTGTGAGAAAATTTGTTCCTATTAAGATCCTATAAAGGAATTAATTTATTTAAAGGAGTTTAAATTAAACATAAAAAATACACATATTTAAAATAGTCAGCTTAGTTTTTCTTAGCAAAATAAAGAAATTTCAAATTTATATGTGACTAAATTTGTGTAGTTTATTAAAAACCATCAAACTTTTGAATTAAAATTATATTGCAAGAGCAAAAAATCACTGATGCTGTGAGATCGATGTCAAACATCGAAAATAAGAACGCTCGGCTGACATTTTCAGAAAAAAGCGAGTGATATAAAACCTTAAGTGACACAAATTAGAGCAAAAAGAGAAATGTTGAAGGTTCAGATGATTAATATATGTAAATATTGTTCAGTTGAAGGAAAAACATACAAACCCAGACCACCATATATAACCCTTCATGTGACTGAGTCACTGTTTGGAGCTTCAGCTCCATTTGTCCCCTAATAATAAGCAGCATCATAATTGAACACTAGAGGGCGCTGTGGCTCCACAAACAAAACGGCACTAAAAGTTTAAATGGAGTTTATTTTCACTTTTCTCTTACCTTGCTGCTTGGAAAATACTTTTTTCTGCCTCTGGAGGCGAGGAGCTCTCTCAATAACCGGGTTAAAGAAGGTCACCTGGAAATACACGCACAGACAGACTTGAATTCAAAGATCACTCCAAACATTTCTGTCAGAGCAGGAGAAAATGAAGAATGAATGCACATCGGCAACAGCTTCGGCTGCCAAAGCTTTAAACTGGGCACTCAAACTGAATGTTGTGAGTGACTCTCAGTTACTACCACACTCAGTATCTGTAACTCATTGGCTGTGGGCTGCAGTCGCTTGGGGTCAGTGCTGTGGTCTTACAATCCTGAGGATGCAGGTCCCACCAGGATGGACATGAGGAGTAAAAAATGTTTCATGTGAGTCCACTCGCTGTGACGACCCCCGAAGACAGGAGCAGCCAAAATAAAAACAATAATAAAATAAATAAAAACATTACGTTATAGACATTTATGTGTCTTTTTACTGTTGATTAGCTATGGCCTCCATCTTGATGTGTGTTGATGTAAAAAATAAATTTATTGTAGATGAACAACCAAAGATTACTTTGTCAAGCTTTCATTAAAACCATCCACTGCTTCATGAGATCTCAGATCACACCATTGGTTGGTTCTCAAACTTCGAAGGCAATGTGTTCAACATAATGGTACTTCCTCCAGTTATTTAACAGTCAACAATGGTGTACCACAAGGCTCAGTCTTAGGACCCACCCTCTTCACAATCTACATAGCTAATGTAGGTCTGAGCATGATGCATCCTTACATTTCTATGCTGATGATACAGTTGTTTACCGAGCTAGAACAGTTGCTAAGATTTAACAGCTTTTGCTTCAGCTTCTGCTTTCGACATCATCCAGTCAGATTTGTTCCGTCTCAAACTTGTCCCAAACGCTGACAAAACCAAAGGGATGCTGTTTTCAAACAGGAAGTCAGTCCCAGCAGTTCTGCCCTCGATTTTATCCTTGATTGGTGTTCCTATTGAGTTTGTTGATTCCTACAAATATTTGGTATCTTGATCGATTCGCATCTCTCTTTTAAGCTCCATGTTGAAAACTTGGTAAGAAAAGTGAAAGTTAAACTGGGTTTCTTTTTCAGAAATAGATCCTGTCTAACTTTGAATGCTAGAAAACAACTTGTAACTATGACTTTCCTTCCCTCCATTGATTACAGTGACAATATTTACAAGAACGCTCCTACAAGAACCCTGCAGATGTTGGATGCTGTCTATCACGGTGCACTAAGATTCATAACTGGCTGTAACTATCATACCCACCACTGCACTCTGTATTCACTGGTTAGCTGGACATCATTAACTTCATGCAGACTCTCTCACTGGTACATTTTCATCTTTAAATCACTTCTTGGTCTGCTGCCTTCATACATCTCCTCCTACATGTCTCTGAGTGAGTGCAGCTACAGTGTGCGCTCTCAGGACATTATTACCTGCAGTGTTCCCTCAGTGAGGACTGAACTTGGCAAAAAGACCTTCTCCTACTCCACTCCTGTTTACTGGAATATCTTACAAAAAGATCTGAAGCTCTCGACCTTGACCTCTCTAAGTGGCTTAAAACATCTGGTAAGTTCCTGGCAAGAACCAACACAGACATGTTCCTGGTTTTAGTTTATATCACTTTATAATCTAGCTGCTTTTGTTTCATTTTTGTTACATAATTTCTTCCATTTACTTTTTCCAATTTACATGCTTTCTTTTATGATTGTCTACTGTTGTCTTCATTATTTGTTTAAAACAGGTCTCTCTTGAAAATGAGTCCTCGAGGCTCAATGAGACTAAACTGTATAAATAAAGGTTGAATGAATGAGATATTTTGCTAATATTTTGACATTCAAATACATGCATGCAGGTTATTACGTGATCTTCCACATTTTATGATGGCGTACAATAATTATAATAATAAACTGATGGAAGCTTTACACTTGAGAATAATATTATGCTAAACTTAATACATGTGTGTGTGTGTTGTACATCCAGTCTGGAGTTTTGTGTAAAACATTTGATAAAACAGTCAAATAAATGTATTTTTCCCCAGCAGGGAACAAACGCTTCAATCCAAGAGCCTGAACTGTGAACACTGGTCTCGTCACGTGCACACAGTGTGTTGTGTAAAGACGTTTGTGCACCTCAGCCACCAGCAGGCCCTGGGGCTCCAGCTCCAGCTGAACTCTATGCTTCTGGTTGTCCAGGAACTCCTCCAGCTTCAGGTACTTGAGCGCACACAGCGAGCGGTAGTCCTTCCAGTAAACGGCGATCTCCAGCTCTCTGGACTGAAACACACACACACACACACACACACACACACGCACAGACGTTGAAATGTCCGCTCAGGATTCAGGTGCAGATTTTTGTTAGTGTGCATTCTGACCCGTTCCAGATCCACAGTGAAGGTCTGATCCCAGGCTTGTTCTCCTACAGTCTTCCAGGCCGTTTGACCCACCACTGTGTTGTCCAGCTTCAGCACTGCACTCACCTCGGCTGCACACACAGATCACTTCTTCTTTGGTTTTGTTTTAAATAATAAAGAGCATGCTCACTGACAACACAAGCAGCTACTTACAGGACAGTTCGTCTGTTTTGCTGGGAGTCCTCCCACTGACAGAGCTTGTGCGTCCGTACAGTCCCTTGTTGACTCTCATGAAGGTCTTGGTGTCTACGGGGCTGTAGCACGGTAGAGTGACTGGTGTCCCTTTGCCGCGACCCGGGACCACCTCCAGCAGCCCAACACAGCCCAGCAGCTGGACCTGCAGGCTGCCTGGAGACAAAGTAATGATGCAGACACACGACAGGTCAAAACAAACACATGGGTGTGAAGTCTAAAGGAAAGTCTGTGAAGCAACAATAATTACATACGTTTTAAATTGAAAGATAAGCACGGACTTGTTTAATTGTGAGAACTTTTCTAAAGCCAATTAATTAATGATCAGATATTAGACAAACAGCAGTCTGCATCATCAGTAAAGATATTCCTTGAAGGCTCAAAGGAGACCCTGAAATTAAAAAGAGTTTACCTTTAGTTCTTTTAATTTATAGAAACTAAAGGAAAATAATCCACAAGTTGCTTGGCTTTAATGTAATGATGCAACATGACCTTGTTTCTCTAGAGCCTGACTGATATACTGTATGTTCAAGTCATGTCCGTACACTTAAGTTTCACTTTCAGCACAGCTGAAGCAGAGAACAATACTGTGTAGAGTATTTTGCTGAAGTAAGTTTATTTAACTGCTGGTAAGTTTATTTAACTGATCTATAAAATAAAAATCAGTAATAAATTATCTTCAATCCTCCAACCTGCTTGTCATTAGCTACATGCCTCTCAAGTTAGCAAGCTAACGTTTAGATAACCTAGCATAGACTATAGTCTTGTAAAAATGTATCCAGAACAATAAATGTAATGTAGAGGTAAAATAGATCAGTTAGTAACGTTATCTTTGTCGTCCTCAGTGAAATGTACTGTTTGAAATCTTTACTTCTCTGTGAAGAATATAAATTGCTGCTGCATTCAGTAATAATTGGTCCTTCACCATACGTGCCTGATTGTTGAAACAATGAACAGGAAGGATGTTTCTTTGTTTACTTTATATTTTTTAACAGACTTGATAACTTTATGGTGAATAGTGGAGGATAGAAAATGTGGGCGCATGTTAGGAAGACTTTTTCAAGACTTCATGTTAAAACAGGACTAAACGTAGATGTTCTCTGAGAATAGTGGGGGTGGACAGAACAAAAAAAGAATTTCAGCCAATATATTGGTTATCAGCATTAACTCTGCCAACATCAGTATTGCTGATAACAAAAATTTCCATATGGGTTGGGCTCTACTTGTTTCTGTGATTAATGTTGGAATAGTTTTGCGTTGGAAACAAGTTTCATTTGTTGTATCTGGGTAGAATATCTTCTAACCAGAGTATTTGATATCTGTCTCAGAATCCTTATCTATAATCAACCTCATCATCAGTCAATTGAATCATCAACCCCAGCCAGTCAAACAAATGGCCGCTCGTCCTGAGCCTGGTTCTGCCTGAGGTTTCTTCCTGTTAAAAATGAGTTTTTCCTTTCCACTGTCTCCTTTGTGCTTGCTCAGGATGGGAGACTGAGACGAAGTGAAGAGTCATCACATTCTGTTGGCTTCTTTAAATAGATAACTTTCAAGTATATTAAATGAAATTTTCACGTTAATAAAATGCTTCTTTTTAACGTTTTGTAAATGAAAAGAAGCAACAAATGTTCCTGAATATGAAATGATCAGTTTCTCTTTAGTGCTGGACAGAAACCTTTGATCATTCCTAATAAAACAGTGATGTTTCCACGTGTTTTCTCGAGGAACACTCAAAATATTTACAGCAGCAGCCTAAATGTTACACTGTTAGCTTCTGTGCTGCTCTAAAGCACGTCCAGAACTTCATGTAGAAGCTGAACCCTTCAGGTTTGTTTGCTTTAGTTTTTATGTATTGGAGTGGAGGTGGGCAGGTTTTGGCCACGCTCTGGGTTTAGGTTAACCTATGGTCTGTTTGTTTTCATCTCTTGGTTGGGTGTAACCTACCAGTGAGAGGCGAGGGCTTGTTGAGGGTGCTGTACTGGTTCTGCAGATAGGGGGCGCCATGGCGTGAGCTGAAAGCAGGTGAAGAGGCTAGGACCAGCTCCTCTTTGATGATGCTGGCCTTGGGATGGTCCTCTGGCAGCTCAGCCAGGCGCTGGTCCAGGGAGTCCCTCAGCAGGTCCAGCCGCTGGGACGCCTCGCTGAGACGAGACTGAGCCTGTGGAGCGTCACACCCTGCTTCAGTCAACAAACACTTTAATGTTTGATTTGTGAGCAAATAAAAAAACAACAACATTATGTAAGAAGACAAGCTAGGGTTTGGGATTCACCACATGTGGCTCTTTGGAGCCTCTGAAGTGGCTCCTTGTAACTTTTAATAAAAACAACATGAACGTGAGCCATTCTGGTTTGGAGCTTTACAACAGGAAACAGAAATTTTAGCAGTTCACCGGTCCAAACTGAAACAAGTGCATGTGCTGCATGTCTACAGAAGACTGACACGAATGATAAAAATATCTTAGACCGCCTGCGTGAACTCAGGTGTAAAGTAGAAATTGGTCGACTTATCAGTTAAATATTCATCCATCCATTTTCTTCCGCTTATCCAGAGTCGGGTCGCGGGGGAAGCAGCCTAAGTAGGGAGGCCCCGACTTCCCTCTCCCCAGCCACTTGGGCCAGCTCCTCTGGGGGAATCCCGAGGTGTTCCCAGGCCAGCCGAGAAACATAGTCCCTCCAGCGTGTCCTGGGTCTTCTTCTGGGTCTCCTCCTGGTGGGACGTGTCCGGAACACATCCCCAGGGAGGCGTCCAGGAGGCATCCTAACCATAGATTAGGGTAGGAACGTAGATCGACTGGTAAATTGAGAGCTTCGCCTTTTGACTCAGCTCTCTCTTCACCACAACAGACCGGTACAACGCCCGCTTCACTGCAGACGTCGCACCTATCCGCCTATCGATCTCTCGCTCCATTTTTCCCTCATTCGTGAACAAGACCCCTAGATACTTGAACTCCTCCACTTGGGGCAGGACCTCCTCCCCGACCTGGAGAGGGCACTCTACCCTTTTTCGACTCAAGACCATGGCCTCGGATTTGGAGGGACTGATAATCATCCCGGCTGCATCATACTCGGCTGCGAACCGCTCCAGTGAAAGCTGTAGATCACGACCTGATGAAGCCAATAGGACCACATCATCTGCAAAAAACAGAGACGTGATCCTAAGGCCAAAATTGGATCCCCTCAACACCTTGGCTGCGCCTAGAAATTCTGTCCATAAAGTTATGAACAGAATCGGTGACAAAGGGCAACCTTAGTGGAGTCCAACTCTCACCCTAAAGGGGTCCGATTTACTGCTGGCAATACGGACCAAGCTCTAACAGTTAAATAAAATAAATAAATTCACAGCTGTCAATAGCAGAGTGACTTCAAATATCAGTAATCGGTTTGACTGATCAGCTCATCGTTTGTTAGCTTGTTCTCTGTTTTGTCGTTGCAGCTTTCTGATGAGTTACTCTTGTTCTCCAAATACACCATACCATTCACTTTTTCACCAAATGTAGGTAAATTGATGTAAATGCAGAAATTAGTTTTAGCATAATATATTGTTTTGAAACATTCAGATAGTTTCTTGTAGGAGCTTTTTTATATTATTTACAAAGGGCTGCTGGTAAAAAAGATTTCGCTTTTAGCTTTCGGCTGCCTGAGACTTTCGGCTGGTACCTCCCTCCCTCCATCTTTCTATTTAGCTTTATCTGTATTATCTTTTCTTTTGTTTTTTTTGTCTGCTCCCTTCTTCAGGAGTCGCCACAGATAACTAACTTGCATGAAGACTTAAAAATTGTTTTTATGTCGGATGCTCTTCCTGATTCAAACACAGACCACCGAGCACCACAGCCCTCTGTGTGGAGCAGAGCTGCTATCTAGGGCACCCGGTGAAGCAGATGGTGGGGGTTAAGGGCCTTGCTCAAGGGCCCAGAGTGGGACAAATGAGGGTGGAGGCAGGTGTGAGTGTTTCACCTTTTCACCCACATTTTGATGTTGCCGGTCCAGAGAGTTGAACCAGCGACCTTCCAATCACTGGCCCACCTCTAATCTCAGCACCACCCCCTCCCTTTATCTGTATTATCTGTCAGATTGATCTAATTCTAAACAAGAGCATGTCCACTCCGTGTGCAGGTAATTTCTGTCAACACAAACAATTTGTTGCTGTTTCACAACAAAACATGACCTGCTGGTTGTCTTTCAGCTGGTCCCTGCAGGAGGGGGTCGTCACATACATTCATGGACAGATTTGATGATCGGAGTCCTTCCTGACACAACCTGGGCTCTAACCTGCGGCCTCAAGATTACAAGACCACGGCACTGACCACCAAGCTACCCCGACACACGAACTGATTTACAAAGGTCAAAGCGCTCGCTGTGAAGTGTGAGTGTGTGGTCGGACCTCAGACAGAGCCTTCTTGTCCTGAACCTTGCTGGCCCCCAGGAGCCTGAGGACGTTCTTGGCCCCCTCGGCGACAGCGTGCTCCACCCTGTAGTGATGCCTGAGCTCTTCGATGCGCAGCTCCACCCCGCAGAGGTCGTGGTTCCCTGTGAGGTCAGAGACGATGAGTTCAGTACGTTTGCTCAGTGCAGTTTTTCTGTTTCACTGAGGCTCATTACTTCAGGCTCTGCATTCCAGGAAACTCCTTTGTGAATTATAAGTCACCGCCTTAATGCATTTAGTACATTACACAAGAGTCAGACAGACAAATATTAAACAGATTATCAGCATCAGCTCCATCCTTTGACTGCAGAACGCCACACCTCACTTCACCAGCAACCAGAGCAAAAACATAAAGACGCTCCAGTCCATCCTTGTGAAAGTTATTCCACACTGTTTCATGTTTCAAGTATACTCTGAAGACCACTTCAAAGCTGAGTCTGAGTAAAAACACTCAGTTTATCTCCCCCCAGGGATGGAAGGACATGGTAATGGAAACGAGGTGCAGTGCTCTCGAGTCAACAGTGAAGGTGGGATCAGATCCTTTCACAATCATGGCTAAGCAGTTAGCGTAATGACGCAATAAACTCAAAGAAGCACGCTGATATGAGGGAGAGCAGGGAGGAGATAAGCAGAAAGACAAATAAATTTAAAAAAGTGTGATTAGAAGAAATGAATAATGGAGAGATATTATGTGGACGTATCAGATCTTTTTTGAGGCGAGAGTGAACCAGAGGAGAGGTGGGAGTGGAGGCTTTTACCTCCTAATAAGGTGCTGTGCCTGGAGCTCAGACCCTGTTAGATGACCCTTCCACGGGGTGTGGTGCCTGGAGACCGACTGTGTGTGTACTCTGAACACAGCCAGGCCTGGTCTGTGTGTGCACAGCGCACAGAGAAAGGAAACAGCTGCGTTTCTTTACCGATACGTCACTGAACCCCACCAAAGAACGGCTTTGATGTCCACAAACAGTGAAACTCAAAGGCCTACATGAACTCAGTTCCACACAGGAGCTGCTGGGAGATTAGAAGTTGTTTACTTTCAAAGGAACTCGTTGCAAACTATAAAATAAAACAAAAAGGTTATTTGGAACTACTGGTATATGAAAAGGTGCAGTTAGAAAGAGTTTGCTCTTTCAAACGAGAAGAGAAGCAAGAAGAAGGTAAAGATAATGGATGGATGGACAGATGGATGGACAGATGGATGGACGGATGGATTGAAAATGGATGGATGTATGATGGATGGATGGATGGATGAATGATGGATGGATTATGGATAGATTGATTGATGATGGATTGATGATGGATGGATGATGGCTGGATTATGAATGATGAATGAATGGATGGACGGATTGAAGATAGATGGATGTATGTATGGATAGATGTATGAATTATGGATAGATGGATTATGGATAGATGGATTGATGATGGATGGATGATGGATGGATTGATGAGGGATGGATGGATGATTATGAATAGATGGATGATAGATGGATGGATGGATTATGGATTGATGATGGATGTATGGATGAATGGATGGATGATCATGGATGGATGATCATGGATGGATGATGGATGGAATGATGATGGATGGATGATTATGAATAGATGACCAGTCACTGTAGAGCTTTTTGGGACTGGGATGATGGTGGCAGTCTTCAGGCAGGTGGGAACTGTCTCCAGGGTAAGTGAGGTGTTAAAGATGTCTGCCAGCACATCGCAGAGCTGATCAGCACAGTCTTTCAACACTTTTCCGGGGATGTTGTCTGGGCCGGTTGCCTTGTGTGGATTAATCCTCCTGAAAATACTCCTTACTTGGGCTGAGGTCACGCTGAGATGCTCTTCATCCGGTGGTGAGGTGAGTCTGGTGCTGGGTGGTCTGTTCGGGTCATCAAAGCATGCATAGAACTTGTTGAGGGCATCAGGCAGAGATGGGTCTTTGGGGCATTGTTCACTTCTTCCTTTATAATCTGTTATGCACTTAATGCCCCTCCACATGCTTCGAGGGTCTTGTGAGATGAATTGACCCTCGATCCTCTGTGCATATGTGGCCTTGGCCTTCTTAATACCAGCAACCAGCTCTTTCCTTGTCCTACTCCACTCCTCTGAGTTTCCAGACCTGAAGGCAATGTTTCTGGCTTCCAGCAGGGTGCGCACCTCTGCATTCAGCCAAGGTTTTCTGTTTGGGTAGCTTTTAACATTTCTGATAGTGGAGACGGTGTCAGTACATGTACTAATGTAATCCAGAACTGAGGATGTGTATTGGTCCAGATCAAGCAATCCTCCATTTTCAGCAGCTTCTCTGAAAACCTGCCAGTCTGTTCAATCAAAACAATCTCTCAGTAAAGGACTAAAGGACACTAAAGGACGTTAAGGTTTCATGTAGTCAACTGGTTCCAGATGAGTAATAAACCATCCATCCATCATCTTTACCCACTTCTTCCTTTTCAGGTCACGGGGGTCACTGGTGCTCATATCCAGCAGACATTGTGTGAGAGAGAGGTGGAGGACACCATGGACAGGTCTCCAGTCCATCACAGGGACACATAGTGACAAATGAGAAACAACCATTCACTCTCTCACTCACACCTAGAGACAATTTAGAGTTACCAATCAGTCTAACATGCATGTTTTTGATCTGTGGGAGGAAACTGGAGTACCTGGAGAAAACCCACGCATGCACAGAGAGAACATGCAAACTCCACCCAGAAAGAACCCAGGCTGGGATTCGATCCAGCGACCTTCTCGCTGAGAGGCAGCAGCTCTACCAACTGAGCCACTGTGTTGCAGAGTAATAACTGTAATTTAATTTAAAATGTTCTGCATATGGGTTAAACTTTAACAAAACAGTCTGCACAGGAATGGCCCATCAGGCCAGGACTCTGCAGTCTACACTCATCTCCAGGCCAGCGGTCACCCGTTCAGGGATGAAGATGTTCACATCCTGGATAGAGGGGAACGATGGTTTGAGAGAGGAGTAAAGAAGGCCATCTTTGTGAAGAGAACTCATCTATATTTAAACAGGGGCGGGGATCTCTGTGTCCAACATCCACCATCTTACAATGTTGTTATTGCCAGTATCACTCAGCCCGCGGTGCAAGTGGCCACCAGGGCACTAACGACCAGGTGTTAGGCTGATGGTCCTTCTTTTATATGTGAACTACTTCTGTCAGCAGCAGAAGCTGCAGTTTATAATGCCCCTTTTGCACAGCTCCTACTCAGCCTCAACTCTGCTCAGCCCGCCACGGAAAGATCCCTTTTGCCCCAGTACTTTTTAACAGATTTTTTAGCTGATTCTGGACCTTGTTTTGTCCCTGCTTCTCTGGTGGGACCGAGCGAGCTGACTCTGGACCAAAATGTGAATGCAGGACACTGATTGGTCAGGGGGAGGAGTCACTGGATCTCAGAAACTTTTCACCAATCCTCCATTTGCAATTTCTCAGAACTCGGAGCAGCAGCTGGATCTATTTTTAAGATTTTAAAACAATAATGACAACACCATGTTTAATGCTGATGTCCAGGCGTTTTTTTGTGTTTGGTGACCGACAACAAAATTCGAGCGAGCGGAGTCACCGCGCAGGACCAAACGAGCTGCCGACCCGTTGAAGCACGCGAGGCCGGACCCCGAGCCCCGGTCTCGCGTGCTCACAAAGGCCGGAGTCCGAGCCCTGGCAGGCGGGAGGACCGGGAGTCCGGGACGGAGGGTAGAAACTTTTTTTTTTTTAAACATTTTATTTATAAAAAATAATGTTTTTTTTATTAGTGAAGAATAAAAATAAATAAACGGTACCGGCTTTATCATGAAATCCTGTTTTCACTTTAACTTTATTAAATAATCTGTTAATTAAAGTTAACTCAGCTGAAAAATCATAAAAAGACAAAATTATTGGATCTCTCAGGAATATTTCCCTCAAATATGTTTAAAGAAGAGTTACAGCCTTTGGTTCAACTTTATTCTAACCCACAGATGTACAAATCACAAAACAAAAATTACACTTTAAATCACTAAAATAAAATCTGTATACAAGAAACAAAACCACATATCTAAATTGAACAATAAAAATAGATAAAATGAGTGCAAATATGTCAAATGATGAAGAAAAATATAGAATTTTAAATATAATTTAAAATATAAATGTTTTGGTAGAATCTGGTTAATCAGATTTAATTCAGTTTAATTATATAGCGCCAACAGAAGCTGTCTCAGAGCGCTGAACAGAAACATTCATATTTAAAACAATAATTTAACATTATTTATCTGAGAAGCGGGCAGCACGGTGGCACAACTGGTAGAGCTGCTGCCTCTCAGCGAGCAGGTCCCTGGTTCAAACCCCGGTCCAGGGGCCTTTCTGGGTGGAGTTTGCATGTTCTCTCCGTGCATGCGTGGGTTTTCTCCGGGTGCTCCGGTTTCCTCCCACAGACCAAAAACATGCATGTTAGGCTGATTGGTAACTCTAAATTGTCCCTAGGTGTGAGTGAGAGAGTGAATGGTTGTTTGTCTCGTTTGTCTCTATGTGTCCCTGTGATGGACTTGCGACCCGTCCAGGGTGTACCCCGCCCCTCGCACAGTGATTGCTGGACATGGGCACCAGCGACCCCCGTGACCCAAAATGGAATAAGCGGGTAAAGAAAATGGATGGATGGATGGATATCTGAGAAGCAGACTGCTTTGAGTTTAACTCATCGCAGAACTCTCACTCGGTGAACTAAAGTTCATTAAAAGTTCATTAGCAGGATTTTGGATTCTGGACACGCCTCCAGAACTGGTCCTGAAGTGCAGTGGAAATGAGGCTGATCTGAGCAGAGTTGGGGCTGAGTAGGAGCAGTGCAAAAGTGGCATAAGACTGAGTTTGTTGCAGCTCGTCAGACTGAAGAAGTCCTTTGGATAAAAGATGAAATGTTTCAAGAAGAAGAATCCATCCAGAGGACCTGACAAGAGTCTGAACAAGGTTCTTCTACATCAACCCCCACTGTCTGCTCACTAACGTCAACTACAGTGTCATTTTAATAATAACTCCACACAGCATGAAAACCCTGCAGGCTTTCCTCACGGAGAACACAGATGGACAAAACCTGTCCTTAAAAGGTCTTCAGGTGATCCCCTCAGACTGCAGATAACCACTTTCATATCAGCCATCATGAGCTGAAAGGCAAAGATGGGTCCCAGAGGGAATATATCATCTTTAAAAGCTGTTCTTACTGCTGTCCTTCTTTGTTCCCCTGATGCCTCTCAAACTGAACCCGTCTCACACACACACACATTTTGACAGCCATCTCATATTTCCAGTCCAGAGGCTGTAGGCCACAGGGCTTGCTGCTCTGTAGTAACCCACTCACCTGATCTGCCTCTGATCCAACACAAGTGAGGATAATGTTTCATAAGTATGAGAGGAATTGTGTTAAATGTCAAAAATAGCTTCAGTATTCAGCTGAACACTGACCAACTGGACCCATTACTCTGCCTGCACATGCTACACACAAAACGTGTATGTGTGTACATCAAAGGGACTTTTTATCTTTTTCGCTGCTTTTTTTTGAAGACTTTTTTGTTTTGCATTGCAGGTAAATCTGTTTTTTTCATTAAAGAGGCAGGTTTACAGGCTTTGTGCTGCTCACCTCCATGTACGGCCCACTTTGCCACACACACGCACAAACACGCACACAAAGGGTCTGCTGTGCATCAAACTGAGTGATTCTCTTCATCTTCTCCCCCCTCCATCCCCGGCAGGACCATGTGAGGACACAGAGCTGCCTCCTCATTGATCTGTTTACGTCTGCAGCGAGGAGCTGCTGCTCAGGACATACACACGAGCAGAATAAAGACACGCTGCAGAACAAACGAGGGAATTAATACGAAATAAACAAATAAATAGAACACGGCCTGTCAGTGCCAGCTGACAACTGTCAGAACCCAAACAGCAAAATGATGTGTGGCTGTCTGTCTGTTCGGTGCGAGCCTTGGAGAGGAGCACCATCAGGGCTCCAGCAGGCCAGAACCTGCAGCTCTTTATTGCCTCGTCACTTTCTATAGTTTACTTCTCATAAACCTGACAGTACAAAGTATCAGTGTCAGCTAACTGTAAGCTATGATCATCATCTAAAAAACTACATTACCCAGAGGACACTAGTTAAAAACAGGAAGTCATTACCGGTAGCTGGTTTTTTGTTTTTGCTGCTTCTGATTTAGAGAATCAAGTCATGCTCAATAATATTTCCTCTAAATACTTGTTTAAGTTCTACTTATTTATTTTTGCATGGATTGTGTTTATTTTTTAAGTTAATACGATGAAAATACTCAGTGTAGTTATAATACTGTGATACTGAACCCTGTTTCATTTTGTTGGGTGTCTGTGCACACATCAGTGTTTTGTAGTTTAAAAGTAATTGCATGTTTTATTTTATTATATTTCTGTGTACAGTAGTCCCTCGCTACTTCGCGGTTCAACTTTTGCGGACTCACTCTATCGCAATTTATGTACGTACAGTCCTGTATATATTTTCAAAATAAATTAAAAATAAATTAAAATAAAAAAAAATTTAAATGTGCCGCCATTTTGTAGTTTTCTTTAATTAAGCCTGCACTGTTTTGCCAGTCTAAAGAACTACGTTACCCAGAAGCCATCAGTTCACTTCCCAGAAGTCAACCCTGCTTCCAACTGCTGCTTTCTGCAAATGGAGGGAATGTTTTGCAGCAAAGTCAGAAGTTCTGTAAGTTCTGTTGCTCACAGGTCTGGCAGGAACGTCACAAATAATTCATAAGATGAACTCATCCTTCAGGTTGTATCTTCACTGTTGAGTAGCTGGGCTGCAGCTGATCTGGACTCCGTGTGACCCAGATCCTGGGAGCTGCAGACGACAGACAACTGCGGGCTTCAGCCTAATTCTGGTCACACGGCGCTGGTCCGGACCGGGTCAGAAGTGGTGGATTAAATCCTGGAGCAGCAGCACACGCACATCAAGCTGGATGGAGCGGTGGGCTTCAGTCATGCTGTACCAAGACTTTTTCCATATATCGGGTCGGACCGGAACCGAGCCACTCCTGTACTGCAGAGTCTGGGAAGTAAAATTTAGTAGCTACATATACTTATATGTAGCTTGTTGTTAAAATTAGTAGGTTTAAGAGTTTAGAGGACTGACTTGTGGGCTTCATCGCTGCAGGATAGTCTGCAGAAACAAACCGAGTCAGAATAAAACAGAGCTGGACCAGAACCAAAGCTGTTGCTGTTCTGCAGAGCTAGTAAGTGTACGTTGTTAAAATGACGTAGGTATAAGAGTTTAGAACATTGCAAGAGTGTGGGAAGGGTTTCTACAGCTTTAATATAAAGTTTACTGTACTTGAACTTGAACTTAAACTTGGACTACAGTATTCCTACTTTGCAGTTTATCGCAGGGGGCAGGGTACGAAACCCTCCTCGATGAACGAGGGACTACTGTAATCTGAGACTAACAGAGCAGTGTTTGATGAAGACAAACTAATAAATGCAGATAAAGTTGGTCTCGTCTCCATCTCCTCAGCCGGCGCGTCACACCCACCCTGTGCGTCCTCGGTGTGCTCAGTGGCCTGGACGGCTTTACGGATTTGCATCCGAATGATGTCGATTTTAGTCTTGCTGTCCTGCAGCATCTGCTGGGCGGTTTGCAGCATTTTCTTATCCTGAGGAAACAAAAAACAACCAAGCACGTCAGAGACAGAAAACTTGGTGCCAAAACAAGCAGGAGATGCTGGTCACTGACTTTTAGTAACAGATGCTCTGAATTTCAGGGATTTTAGTGAACAAAGTTTAAGTCTTTAAATTCTGTAGCAGTGAGGGGAAGTGGAGTGAAAGATGTTGTACAAGGGAGAGAAAAGACTCAAGATACTTTATTAAACAGACGGATGGACATCATGTTATAGACGTGTAGAGATGATCACAATCAGCAGACTGCTGTCAGAACCTTCAGCGTACTCAGAGAAAGTCTGAGCTAACAAAAATAAATAAATAAGCTAAAGTTTATTTCAGTTATTCTAAAAATGTGAAAATAATCTGTTTTCTTCTCTGTAATTGTCTTCTGACATTTATTAATAGCTGTCTAAGTTCAGGTTATGTCACGTCTGTTTTCAAGCATGCTGTGGTCAGGCCTCTTTTTAAAAAAAACGGGTTTAGATCCTACAGCTTTTTTTAATTTTAGGCCAATTTCACACTTATCATTTTTATCCAAAGTTCTGGAAAAGGTTGTTTTCATTCAGTTGCAATCTTTTTTTAGAACACAACAACTTGTTTGAAAAATTTCAATCTGGCTTCAGACCCCGTCATAGCACTGAATCTGCACTACTCAAAGTACAGAATGATATTCTTTTGTCCCTTGATGCCAAAAAACCTGTTCTGCTGGTGATGTTGGACCTCTCAGCAGCTTTTGATACTGTAGACCATCAGGTCCTGATCACTCGTTTGGCTCAGCAGGTTGGCCTTCAGGGAGTTGTGCTCGAGTGGTTTAAGTCCTATTTAATAGACAGAACTTTCTCTGTTATGATTGGTGATCTGTCCTCTTCTTCTGTCTCTTTGACCTCTGGCGTACCGCAGGGATCCATTCTGGGGTTGTTCTCTTCTCACTTTACATGCTACCATTAGGACCCATCATTGCACGCCATAATCTGTCTTTTCATCTGTATGCAGATGATCTACAAATCTATCTGCCGGTCACTCCCAGTTCCTCACTCAGTTTCAACTCTATTGCCAGCTGCTTCAACGACATTAAGCACTGGCTGTCTCAGAATTTCCTCCACCTAAATAACGATAAAACTGAATGGATTTTATTTGGTGCTTCCAGTAATTCATGCAACATCTCTCCCAGTATAGGTTTGTCGCTCCCCCACTCCAACCAGGTGGTAAAAAATCTATGAGTGGAGCTTGACTGTAACTTGAAGTTAGATAAACAGATCAGTTCTGTTGTGAAAACCAGCTTCTTTCAGCTCCGTCTGCTTTCTAAAGTAAAGTCACTCCTTAGCCGTAGTGATCTGGAGAAGGCCATCCATGCCTTTGTGAGCTCTAGGCTTGATTACTGTAACGCCTTATATGTCGGTATTAATCAATCCTCTATCTCCCGTTTACAGCTTGTACAAAACTCTGCTGCTCGCTTGTTGACTAACACACGTAAATATGAACATATCACTCCTGTCCTTTCTTCTTTGCACTGGCTCCCGGTTCAGTTTAGGATACAGTTCAAGCTGCTACTGTTTGTTTTTAAAGCTTTGAATGGCCTTGCACCACCTTATATTTCAGAACATTTGAAAGTCCACCAGCCCAGCAGAGCTTTACGGTCTGCTGGTCAATATCTGCTAGAGGTGCCTTGCTCAAGGTGCAAACAATGGGGGGACCGGTCCTTTTCTGTTGCAGGCCCAACAGCCTGGAATACTCTTCCCTATGAGCTGCGTGCCATCTCTGATCTGGTTCTGTTCAAAGCCAAACTGAAAACATACTTATTTAAAAGGGCTTTTAATGTTTAACTTTTAGTATTTTAGTATTTAGTATTTATTTATTTTATTTTTTTAATCTCTTTTACCTTATTTTATTCTGGCTGTGTTTTTAATTTGCACTGATTTATTGTGTCCTGTTTTTATCTTGTAAAGCACCTTGGTCAATGCAAGGCGTTGTTGGAAGGTGCTATAGAAATAAAGTTTATTATTATTATTATTATTATTATTATTATTATTATATAAAGGTGTACCGTGAAGTGCTGCATGTTCGGGATGTTTTTTAACAAATCCCAAGTTTTTGTCTGAGGTCTCTACATAAAACTGATTTCTTTAATATACTTTATATTGATATTTTAGCAAATTATTGCAATTTTTATTATTGTTATTTTATTTTATTGCTATTTTTAAAAATATATTATAGCTATTTTGGGGTGTAACTGGGACCCTGTGTACACAATTTCGTTCCACCTCATGTACCACATGTGATGCGAATAACAATTAAGAACCTTGATTTACTGTCAAGGTAGTCTGGATTCCAATCAGAATATCCAAACCATTAAAAGAAAAAGAGGATAAGTTCAGATAGATGGTTTGATCAGTCAGTAGTATTCAGAGCTGTAGTCCGAGGCCATTTTCTTTAGACCCGTCAGAAAATGCCTAGTGGCTGATTTACATCAGAGGTGATGTTAAAGCTGGACAGCTGACAAATGGCAGCAAGTGGGTATGATATATTTTAATTAATTTAACTAATAACTGACTTTTAAAAATGAGTGCTTAATAAGAAGATGGATTTTGTTTAAAATAAAGGTCACCCAGCACCCAAATATTTAAAGCTCATTCAACCCAGGACTGTGCTCCGTTTTCCTGAACACAGCCATTTTCAGCTAAATGTTTGTTTTGCTACGTTTTGCTTCAGTGGGAATAAGTGTGTGTGTGTGTGTGTGTGTGTGTGTGTGCGTGTGTGTGTGTGTGTGTGAGCAGAAAACCTTTACCTTGGTGGATCCATTGGCGTAGATGGGGATCATGTTCTCAACTCCCTGTTTGACTTTAAGCTCGATGTTGAGCTGCCTCTCTAGGGCTGCGATGCGCTCCCTGTGAGCTGACGTGCGACTCTCTGCCCCCGGAGAGCGAGGACAGTCATCTGCAGAAGTAAGGGAAGGTTTGAGACGACATAATAAGGAACAGGATGGTGGTTCACATGGTGAGGACTACAGAGTAGAAAATCTTCAGGGAGTTTCAAACAGCAGCTAATAATACTGCTGCTGCAGATGTGCCAGATGTTTTAATATGGAATGATAAAGAAAAGGTCCTGAGACCAGATTAAATATGATCCACAGTCCACACCACATGAGTGCTACAAATAAAGAAAATAATAATAATAATAACATATCTTCATGTTCAATTGTTTTCATCAACTTTAACTGGAAGAAAATGTAAACAAAAAAACTTTTAAGACGTTTGACTGCAAAAAATAATAACAGTAATAAAAAATATCAGGAGTGTTGTAATATTAATTTAGACTAAACATATGAGCTAGGTTTTAAACTAGATTTATTTTGGGAAATATTTAAATCATTTATTGTCCAAAGCCTGAACTGGTTGCAGTGACATGTTATCCCTCCCTCACCTGTTTTTACTGGGCCAATCAATACAACTACGGTAATCATGCCTGGAAAATCAAAGCCCTTCATCATATTTTAGGCCCCCCCCCCCCCCCCTTCCAAAAAAAAAGTGATGAAAATGCCAGGAATACTTTGTTTACTTGGTGGCAAAAATACTCATAACATTTAAAAAGTTCTAGAATTGCGCCGCTCAAGGTGGCTGCATGTTGGAGCAGATCTGTTACTTTCATTCTGAGTTATTGCTTTTGGAAACTTTAATTCCTATTTTTTTCTGGATGTAAATCACTTTTTTCGGATGATTATTTCCTCTGGTATCAGATGCTGTGCAGCTGGAAGGATTTTAACTGAAACCTTTTTACTTTTGGACATTTGTTGTGATGTGTAACCATGGCAACAAGGTGTATTTTTTTTAACAACCAGGAGCAGCTGAAATACCTCAACTACAGCATCAAATCCTAAATGAGTTGAAAGGAGGCTCTGTGGACAAATTCCTGTCAACCTGGCGGCGGTGCTCGAGTGTCTGATCGCCGAGATTCTGGAGCTGGTGGCAAACTCGGCTCGTGACAACAGGAGGACTGGGATCATCCCCCGGCACCTTCAGCTGTCTGTCCGTGGTGATGAGGAGCTTGGCAGACTGCTCGGAGGAGTGACCGTCACTCAGGGAGAAATTCTGCCCAGCATTCGGGCACTCCTGCTGCTCAGGAGGACCGAGAGGCCCGCCGGATCTGACGGCGGGATGGATCTGGGTGGACGGGTCGGTGTTTGTGGCCGGATTCTACGGATTCGCTGCGGGAGATCCTTCCTGCCCACAGCTATAAGCATCTAACAACTCTCGAATGAAATCAGGATGATGAGCTATAACAACACTTAATTTCCCTCTGGGATTAATAAAGTATTTTTGAATTGAATTGAATTGAATTAAGGTTTCTGTCATGGTATCACTTTCCTAATAATGGATTTTATGGTGTTTTATCAGATCTTGAAGATTTATTTTTAAATAATGCGACCTTCCTGGTAAAATAATTGATAATTTTAAAAAAATCCAACCCTGAACAGTATTTCTCCACAACTCTGTCTCTGATCTATGTGGAGAAGTTTCTGGTCTTCATGCTGCCTCATGGTTGGTAGTAGACCTTACTAACTGGGGATCCATCGATCTTGACAAGAAATGAGAAAACAGTTCTCTCTCCCAGGGCTGAGAGAAAAGCCCTGGTTTGGAAGTTCTAGCAACTTGTTCTCAACACGTGATCTGTGCAGAACTGTTTTTCTTGGGGGTTTCCAAGAACTATTGGAAGACTGGTCAGAGATACGAAGTGGGCACGTGGATTTAAAGTGGAAATGTACATTCCAGTGTTCTGCTGGTGCAGAAGTTTGTACAATGGAAGGTTTTAAGGAGCAGCTGACCAAGCTGACATGCTTTTAAAGACAAAGACGTGCAAATGGCTAACTCATAAAAAGAACAAAGCCCAAACATTGTGCATACAGTGCTTTTATTAAAAAAAATACATTAACTTTGGGGAAAATTCATAAAGTCTAAACATGTTCAGACAAAAGAGTGGTGTTACTGGCAGAGGGCAATCAGTCCTGCAGTGGGAGGACATGTGGACACCTCAGGAGCTCGGTGCTTGAGTTTCTTGACAAGTATAAAATGTCCTGTACAAAAATAACTTTGTTCTTGACAGCGCAAAGAAACAAACACATTGTTTGGTTCTTACGGGTTTGCAATAAGCTTTTATTTGTTGAACTGATGATTGTTCTGGGGGCTGTTAGAACATTTTATACTGCCATCATTTTACACGTAGATTACCCACAGGTGGATCTTATTGAACTAATTATGCGTCTTCTGAAGACTAAACACTGTCAGGTGATGATAATAAAAAGATAAAATCTGATCTGTGACAGAATCATACCTTTACTCTCCTCGCCTCCTTTCACCACGATGTGAGCATCCAGCTCCTGCAGCTGAGCGTGCAGGTTGTCCAGCCGTCGGCTGGAAGAGCGCAGCTGACTGTCCACCTGAGAGACAAAACATGGTTAGCTTTAAAGTCTAGATAGAAGACATCACTCCATCACTTTCTATGCCAAACCATCAGTGGCTGAGCCTGATGTGGGAAAGACTTTGATCAGATGTGAGGACATGAACAGGAACAGGAAAACAGGACTGTCTCTCCAGTACCTTATTCAATTCAATTCAATTCAAATATACTTTATTAATCCCAGAGGGAAATTATTTGTTGTTGTAACTCATTATCCTCATTTCATTAAGAGATGTTATAGATGCTGATGGCTGTAGGCAGGAAGGATCTCTTGTAAAGGTCCATTCCACAGTGGATCCCAAGAAACTGGCTGCAGATGCCGTCCGATCCGTCCACCCAGACTCGGCTGGCCTCTCGGTTCCCCCGGGCTGTAGGACCGCCTGAATGCCGGGCAGAACTCCTCCCAGAGCGATGGCCACTCCTCCCAACAGTCTGCCGAGCTCCTCATTGCTGCAGACAGCCAACTGTAGGTGCTGAGGGACGATCCTGTCCTTCCGCTGTCATGAGCCGTGTTTCCTGCTAGTTCCAGGATCTCAGTGGTCAGGCACTCGAGCACAGCTGGCAGGTAGATGAGAATGCGCCCATAGGACATCCTTTCAACTCATTTGAGATTTGGGGCTGTAGTTGAGATATTATTTGAGCTTTTGAGATGTTAATCAGCTGCTGTTGGTTGTAGAAAAATGCCTTGTTGCCATGGTTACGCATCATAACAAATGTCCAAAACTAAAAAAGTTTCAGTAAAAATCCTTCCAGCTGCACAGCATCTGATACCAGAGGAAACAATCATCCAAAAAATGTGATTTACATCCAGAAAAAGAGGAATTAAAGTTTCCAAAAGCAAAATGTCAGAATGAAAGTAACAGAGCTGCTCCAACATGCAGCCACCTTGAGCGGCACAATTCTAGAATGAATTCTTTATGAAAAACAATTCAAGACAATTGTTCTTCCAATACAGCCAGATTGACTTCCTATCTACCTCTTGCTCTCCACTGCTACCAAGAACCACCAGGAATGCAATACATTTCCACACTGCTGATTTTCAAGGTCCTGTTTCATCTAAACTAGCCCTTCTTCATTGGTTTTGTTGTAGAGTGCTTTAGATAGTGTCTTCTTCATCTTATTTTCTGTATTCTTATTCTTTAGTGTTCTTCATCTGATTGCATGCAGACACTTTTTTTTGTACTGTGACTGTTTGCTATAGATACATGTACCACTGTACCTTGAATGTAGATGTGTAGTAGCTGCATAGAAAAGCTACCACTGAGTAAAAACATTTGCAAACACTCCTCAACTTTCAGTGAAATACATACATGTATACTGTATGTATATTTGGCATGGCAGCATACATTCAGTTGAGACAGTAGCAAACAAATGTCTTGTCTAATTCACCGCTCACTAGGCCGATTCCTTTTTCTAAGACTCAATACCATTTTTTTCCAGCTTTATGGCAATTTCATTACAGAATTGTTAATTTTCTAAGGTTTGACTTTGGAAAAAAACTTTCACATCTGACAAGCGGCTATGGCTGAGTGGTTAGAGCAGTCGTCCTCCAATGCAAGAGTTGGGGTTTTGATTCCACCAGCAGTCACATGCCAAGTGTCCCTGGGCAAGACACTGAATCCCTCATTGCCTCTGATGTGTGTCCCATCGGTGTATGAATGTGATAAAGCTCTGATTAGTCTCTTTAGAATGATTTGTTCAGTTAGCTTTGTAGAGATCTAGTAGAGTGCTGTATGAATGGGTAAATGAAAGCACAGATTGTGTTGTAAAGAGCTTTTATTATCTTGATGCTATACACTGCCTGGCCAAAAAAAAGTTGCCACCTGGATTTAACTAAGCAAATAGGTACGAGCCTCCTATTGGATAATTACTGCATGGACGATTATCTTTCAGATGGCAACAAGTTATTTAATCCCAACTGGTGCAATGAGTTGCTTCTCATTTCTTAAACAACCATGTCGAAAGACACTTCACGTGGTAGTGGAAAAAATGTCAGTCTGTTTGAGAAGGGTCAAATCAATGGCATCAAGCAGAGAAAACACCTAAGGAATTGCAGAAACTAATAAAATTGAGTTGAGAACTGTCCAACGCATTATTAAAAACTGGAAGGATAGTGGGGACTCATCGTCTTAGAGGAAGAAATGTGTCTGGAAAAAAATCCTGAATGATCGTGATCGATGATCACTTGAACTTTTGATGAAATCAAATGGAAGAAAAACAACAGTAGCACTCAGGGCTATGTTCAAAAGTGAAAGTAAGAGCATTTCCACACACACAATGAGAAGGAACTCAAGGGATTGGGACTGAACTGCTGTGTAGCCCTAAGAAAACCACTAATCTGTGAGGCTAACTGGGAAAAAAGGCTTCAATTTGCTAGGGAGCATAAAGATTGGACTCTGGAGCAATGGAAGAAGGTCATGTGGTCTGATGAGTCCAGATTTACCCTGTTCCAGAGTGATGGGTGCATCAGGGTAAGAAGAGAGGCAGGTGAAGTGATGCACCCATCATGACTAGTGTCTAGTCATCAATGAAAGATCCTGGTGAAAAATTAATGCAACACTGGATGGAAATAGGGCAGCACGGTGGCACAACTGGTAGAGCTGCTGCCTCTCAGCGAGCAGGTCCCTGGTTCAAACCCCGGTCCAGGGGCCTTTCTGGGTGGAGTTTGCATGTTCTCTCCGTGCATGCGTGGGTTTTCTCCGGGTACTCCGGTTTCCTCCCACAGTCCAAAAACATGCGTTAGGCTGATTGGTAACTCTAAAATTGTCCTTTGGTGTGAGTGAGAGAGTTAATGGTTGTTTGTCTCGTTTGTCTCTATGTGGCCCTGTGATGGACTTGCGACCCATCCAGGGTGTACCCCGCCCCTCGCACAGTGATTGCTGGACATGGGCACCAGCGACCCCCGTGACCCAAAAATGGAATAAGCGGGTAAAGAAAATGGATGGATGGATGGATGGATGGAAATAGATCTTGTGACATTGCAGAAGCTTATTGAAACAATGCTACAGTGAATGCATGATGTAATCAAAGCTAAAGGCGGTCCAACAAAATATTAGTGTGTGACAATTTTTTTTAGTGGCAACTTTTTGGGGGGCAGGCAGTGTAGAAAGGAGCTATATAAGTACAGTCCATTTCCATCTGTTAGCTGCTAATTGTTCAAGACTCAGGTCGAAGGGGCAGCAGCTTGAGCTTGAGGCCCAGACATTCAGTCCACAGCCTCCTCTTCAAGCTCTTCTGGGAGGACTCCAAGATGTTCCCAAGCCACTTGATAGACATGTTCTCTCCAACATGTCCTGGGTCTTCCTGCGGTCTCCTTACAGTTGGACAGGCCATCCAGGGAGCATCTGTACCAGACGCTCAAACCACCTAAACTGGCGCCTCTCGATTTTGAGGATCTACTCCAAATCTCTCCGGAATACTGGACTCTGTCTCTAAGGGAGAGTCCAGCTAACCTGTGGAGAAAACTGATTTCAACTCATTTTGTTTATCTGTGAAGGTCTGTGATGTTTCATTATTCCCCAAACAGCATCATAAAGACCAAAGAAAATCACCAAACAGGTCAGGAATCAAGTAGTTGAGAAGTTTAGAGCAGGTTTAAGTTTTAAAATAATATCCCAACTTTTAAGCATTTCTTAGAGCTCTGTTCAAGTTGTTATCTGAAACTGGAAAAAGTATGGCTGGACAACAACCCTACTAAGACGCGCTGTAGCTCTGCTCACCTGCTGGGCGTTCCTCTTGTCGGTTGTCGCTCTTCGCAGATTTTCGGCCCCTTCCTTGATCTTCAACTCCTTACGAATCTCCCTTCGGATTCTTTCCCGCTGCTCGTCCAAAAGCTGCTGAACGCTCGAGTCTGAGAAGTCGGAGTTCTGGTCCAGACCAAGCTGCTCCAGGACCGACAGCCCTCCGGGATCACTCTGTAAGTGGACGGTGTGAAACAAAAAACATGGAGAAACAAAGTGGTTTGTGGTTAGTAACAGTGCAGAAAGTAACTCTGAATACCCATTAAACTAAACCTCGTCTTCAGCTTAATATGTGGTGTTTAGAGTGACAAGAACGAAAAAGGAAGAGATGGTGAATGAGATAAGGCAATAATGAGAGGAAAGACAGAGATTATAGAGATGGGGTAGCAGAGCAGACTGGGGAATAGAAAAGTAACAAATGGGGAAAAACGAAGTAACCCCAACTGTAACTCTAATGTTACAGCCTGTGTTAATTTTATTTAAAACCAATCTGCTACGTTCTGCTCATTTAAAAGATAACTTATTTGCTGAAGTCCATGAAAATTCTGAGAAACGTTGTTTTTCAAGTCAGGCTATGTGTCAGACAGGCTATACATCAGAACAAACCTGTCTCATTAGCTTAAATCTCCATTTTCTTCAGCCTCCGTGTGATTCACTCTTTATCTGATAATCATCTTAGCCTACTATAAAAAGCATCAGGTCTCCTTTTTCAACGTTACTATTAAACCAAAATGTTCATCCTACATTTGATCTTTGCTAGCAGAGCTACAAATAACGACAAAAATGACACTCCGAGAAGAAACAAACAAACAAAAAAAAATAACGTTTAGGAACACAGAAGACTCTTTGTCACTCCGAATCTTTGAGACAACAGGAGCGCACAAATGAATCAAACGAGAAGGTAAAGTCTCACCTCAGAGCTGTCCTCATCCTCCTCGTCCCCATGCCAACACATCACTGACTCAAAACCCGCCCCCCCACCCCCAAAAAAGCTAAGGAAAAATAGAAATTTTTGATTTGCTTCTAAACTCGGGCAAAGACTTAATGCAAAGCCAAGAGCAAAATGTGCTGTTGGTGGGGGGGGGCCATATGATAATAAGAGATAAAGGGAGGGAGAGTTAAGTGAGAGAGGAGGGGAACGCCTCCAAAAGAGGATATCCGTCCTAACACTGAGCTGCTCAGGCCTTTCCTGTTTCCTCTGCCATTTTGCTGCTGTCAGTGGTGAGTCAGACACAGGGAATAAAAACAAAGACAGTTCCACACACAAAGAATGAGCAGTTGTAAACTATAACGTGAACTAATGTGATAACTCTGAAAGTTGCCAAGTCATCCCCATCTGATTATGTTTACCAAAACATCAGCTCTGACGAAAAGACAAAGAGAAAGCCTGGGTTTCCTACTTCCCCCTCACTTGGACCGGTGATATGATCTAAAGTGAAGAAACCAGGGCAGGATGAGCTTTCTAAGTACTGGATCAAAGCTGAAGAGCAGTACGTTTGGGATCCATTTATGTAGCTCGCCTGACCACATTTCCTCTCATCTACAAACCCCAGCGGTTCCTCTTCTACTGAAAGAAGAAGCAAAGGGACGATACAATCTCTGCAAAAGCAGCAGTGTTGACCGATTCATGCTGGCCTCCAACCACCTTTAACAAGTACCTGTGTTAGAATGTACATCAGCGTTGAGATACAAATATCTGGTGCTCTTTTGAATAAGACGAATGTTGTCTACAGACTGGAGTTCAAGCTCAAGTCCAAGAATCACTGTTATCACCAAGGGGCAATTTGTTTCAGTCAGTAGACAGTAAAACATCCATACTAGACAAGACATTAAGACGTTAAAATAACCGTACAGAGATCATCATTGTTCGATCGATGCAAGGATGAATGAGTTTTTCAGTCTGTTCGTTCCACATCTGGGCAGCAGATACCTGCGTCCAGATAGAAGCAACCTGAACTCACCATGGAGTGGGTGATCAGGATCTGCCAGAATCAGCCTGGCCTTGTTCAATGGCCTCACCTTGTGTAGGTCAGTGAGGTTCTGTAAGGGCTATACCAGGGGTCTGCAACCTGCGGCTCTGGAGCCACATGTGGCTCTTTGGTCCCTCTGCAGCGGCTCTTTCAAGCTTTGACCAAAACTGACATAAAACTGAAATTTATTGGTTGTTATAACAACTAAATTGGCTGGTTTTAGCAGTTTTCCTGTAATTTATTTAGCAAATATATGAATACTAGAAACATTACAAGGAGTAAAACAGAATCATGTTCACTTTATACTTTATTTCTTCAAAGTAGGATATGTAATTTTTCTACAATAAAAAAAAATCACATAAGAATGCATTGTTTATTGTTTTAGTTTTTAGAAACTGGGCAAAAACTAAATTATTTTTTCCTTCTTTACAAGAATCTCGTCTTTTATTTTGTCTTAGAATGTAAAAATATCAATAAATGTTAAAAATCATTAGATATTTTTAGTTTTATAAAATCACCCCTACTGTCCAGAAAAGTGCCCTCCAACAAACTTAAAGTGGTCTGTGGGCCACCAGTTGAGAATCCCAGTTGTAGCAGGTATTGTGGCTCCAGACATGTTTAACTTAGTGAACAAAAGGGCAGAAATGGCTCTTTTGGTCGTAAAGGTTGCAGACCCCTGGGCTATGCCACTCCCATGGATGCTTTAAAAAAACAAAGAACAGAGTAGCTGATCATAAGAATGCCATTCGGACAAAGATAATGAAGAAAATAACGGCATTATGTTATGAAAGAACGAGGCACGATGGTCTGAATCCACTGAAAATGATGGTAGAAGACATCAGAGGTGTTGATCACCTGAAAAGGCTTCTTCAGTGTGAAACCTTTGAAAGCAACAACATATCCTGGACTCTGACATGAAATAGACCTTTCCCCGCTTTTGTGACAAATCTAATGTGTGTTGTAAAGATTAAATCAAAAATCCTCCTAATCGCCTCTAACAGTTCTTGAGCAGCCTGGGTCACTTCTGACAGAAATTTCATTGTATTTTGGCAGCGCAATGGTTTAGTGGTTAGCACTGTTGCCTCACAGCAAGAAGGCTCAGGATACAAGCCCTGGTTTGAAATTTCTGTGGAGAGTTTGCATGTTCTTCTCATGTTTGCGTGGGTTTTCTCCCACAGTCCAAAAACATTCATGTTAGGCTGGCTTCAGGACCAGGCCTCCCTTACAAAGGAGGTCAGTGATCTCTATGGTTGAAAAAAGGTTAATATAAATATTTCTGCCTGAACAGCTGCGTAGTGGAACTTAATCTAGCAGGTAAAGGTTTGAATAAGAGCAGAAAACAATGTGACATTTTAAAAACAGTAGTTGTTTATAAATGGTATAATCTGCTATAAAAGCGGGTCTACATCGATCAGAACCATGAGTTAATAACCAATCTGAGCGGACCCACCCAAAATAACTTAGGTCTTAAAATTTCACAGATGTGCATCTTGTTAGTGCTACAGCTTCCTGCTGCTGCTGCTATTCACATTACATACATTGCATACAAATACCCAAAGCATTCTATATAAAAAAGTAAAATGTTGTATTCTACAAAATTGACGGTAGTGGAGATATTTACAAGATAGCACTTGCTTGACACGATATGAAATCTTAGATTTTGGAGTTGTATTAAATCCACAGCAACCTCCTTTGGACTCAGCTGTATTCAGATTAGCCATTAGCTTGTCAGACAGGTCAAAATTAAACTCTTATTCCTCCAATTTTTTTATTTTTTTTTTGTCTATGAAGCAGTTTTTCTATTTGTAGCTGGTCACAAATAAGACACAACAAGGATAAATTAGCCATCAGGGATTATGTCTCACTGTGTGTAATGGGACCAGTGCTCAGCTCAAATGTGACACAAACCAAAGCTTAACGGTGATGTATTCGTACCACATAACAAAACATAAAGCAGGGTTAAAGTGTGAGCAGATTTTAAGATGTTTGTCTTGTGGGTTGCTGCAGCTAATAGTTCTCAGCTCATCTGATTACTGAGCAACCCTGTAGCATCAAACAGAATAAAAAGGAGCGGAGGTCAGCTGATTTGAACAAAGCTTAGCCACAAAAGACCCTCACTCAGACTGAAGCCCAGTCTAAACAACCTGAGGGACTGAGTTTCACTCGATCAGGGCAGGACAACAGGATACAGACTAGTTACACCAATGAAACATGAGACTTACTGCGAGACAACGTTAGAATTGTGGGAAAGTAAACCAAGTCGCTGGAAACGTTCATGTTTTCTCGTCACTGAAGTGAATAGACTCGACTAATTACATGTAATTTTTGGGACAGTTTTTATTTTTCACATTAAAAGCTGACTCATTTCCTTCTGCTACTTCAGGATAAACTATAAGAAAACTACTTCCTGTAGTCTAAAAGACAAGCTGCGCCAATGATTGGTTTGATAAATGTAGAACGAACAGACTCAAATTACTTCAGATAGCATGGTATGAGGCACCGCTCATTAGTTTTTGAGGTGAAACTTCAAAAACAGCTGAAAGCTTTTTATTAAGTTGGGCATCATTAGTTCTCATTACGTCAGGTGAATCATTTGTGTCTTGTTTGTTTTAGACTTTTATAATCATTAACTAGTGTGAGTCGTGATCGGTGTACTTTGGTTAGTTTTTGGTGTTTTGGCTCTGTTCTTGTATTTTCATTAAGATTTGATTTGATATTTTTGTGTTGATATTGTGTTAAACCCTGTTCAGTGTCCCCTGTGGCATTTCTCATTCGCACTCAGTCAGCTTCATCTGTTTTTCCAGTCAGCTTGCCACGCCCCCTTCACCTGCACGCCACCCCACTCATCCATAGCTCTATTTATTCAGTTTCTTTCCACCTTCACAAAAGTTCTGCATCGTTCCACCATCAGGTTTTTCTCATCGCTCCGGTGTTGTTCACCTCTAGCTTTGCTGTAAATTTGCTACCATGTCAGCATTTTTTTAATTAGTAAAATAAATAACTTTGCTTTTCAAGATCCCCGTGTCTAGCCTGCATTCTGGGTTTGAAGTATGCTAAACTTTGAGATTGTGATTTACTTTTTTTTTAATCCAAGGCAGCAATGTGGAAATTGATTCCAGTACAATTCCTTTGCAAAGTTACTTTTCTTATATCAGAATAGGGCAGCATCACCTGAATGTTTGCATGTTGGGTCTTGGGCAGGGC